CCATTTTATGTGTTTAATTATATATGTATATAGAAATATTCCCCTTTATGATTATCCAGAAATTTGTAAATATAATTCTGTGCGAAAATCTATTTAATTTTGTGTTTCCTTGTTAGAAGTACACATAGAGTTGGTCACATATGTTATGTACTTATGTACATCTCTTTCATATCTCCTTTAAGTTCACATTAATACGAGTATGCATATATGTATGTAGTTTTGTTGCCTTATATTTTTTTGATTAATAAATCATAAAAGTCCATAAAAAGATACAAAATATCTGCTAGGATTTGTCTTAAGCAACAATATTTTATGTTCACAAATATTTGCATTATGAAAATTAAACTATGAGTACTCTTATATGTTCAACAACTTGCAGGAAATGATTAAGTTATTTTCCTTAATAAATAATTTTAATCATAAACAAGCATAACACCCAATAAATAAAACAATTCGTGATTGTTCTATATCATTAATCTTCAACAAATTAATTATTTAATTTTCAATATTTAAATTTTCTTACTAAAAAATGGCATAAAATTGATGGTATTAGGTACTTTACTTTATTTTAAAATGTGAAAATATTATTATAATTTATTATTTTGAAAAAATATAGAAAAATAACAATAAACAATAAAATTGAAGTCTTTAAAATAAAAAATTAGAATTATAGTCCTAATGAATTCGTTATAGGTCATTTTTTTTATTTTAGAAGACAAAGTTCTTTTAGAAGAACTTTACTAAAACAAAAAATTATCCTTGTAGTAAGTAGTATTTTTTTAGATTTTTAATTTATATATTTCATAATTAAATTGATTTTTAATGTTCGTTTTGACGGAATAAATTAAATTCTTAATATAAACTATTGTTTTCAATAGAGAGATTTTTATCGTACAGTAGTGAATTGCAACAACAAAATTTTTTTCATTATTTTTAATTGACTAAATTTTTGCTGACAAAAACCCTGTTTTGAGTATTGCTAAATACCCATCATCAATAGTCTTGAAGATTAGTGATCTGTCTAATTTGAAGGTCAGAGTTTGTGTTTATTAGATAACTGATCCAATGCCGTACTTGAGTTGTATGTTCTTAATTGAAGTTTGGTTAATTTGCTATGAAAGTTCATTAATTCTTCATTAATATTATATTTTATTTTTGTAAAGAAAAATAAACAAAATAAATGAAATAAACCATATAAAATATAATCTTAAAATTAAACACTAAAATTAAAATCTTAATAAAATAGCTTTAAATCACAAATCATATTTTAAAAGAGAATTTAAGAATCTTACAGAAACTAAATAAAAATATATAATAGATGATATTTTTTAATTTTAAGATTTCATTTTTGTTTTCACTTAATTTTATTTATTAATAATAAACTATTTTATATAAATATACGAGTTTATATTTTAAAATATATTTTTAACAATGACAACCAATTCGTTACAAAATTTGATATTAATTTATCTATACTACGGTTTTATGCTTTAAAAATTGAAATAGAAATCATACCGCAATCAAAAGTTCAATTGAATAATTTTTAAAATATATAAAAGGTTTGTAGAAAATGTGATTAAAATTTAATAAAACTTGGGAGTAAAATATACATAAGTCAATAAAAATAAAGACAATTAATAGAGACACATTACATTAATTGGTAAAACATTGTTTTAATCGAAATATAATATAATATGAAAAATACTTCAAAACACGAAGGTTTACGACCCTTCCGGTATTTAATAAATGGATGTGTTAGGGGCGCTGAGATAACAGCATCTGCTCCGCTAAAGTTACCAGCGCAATGGACGCGTATGTTGCGTATGACTTCGGGAACAAAAATTCGACCTGATGATTTATTACAGGTAAATGATATCCTGTCATTGAAAACAAGTATCAATGATTGATAAAATATTGACAAGGCAAAAATTTTCTAAATACTTTAATTTTTTTTGGTATTAGAAATAAAAATTTTATAATTTTATCTGAATTAATATTGATTTTGCTCATGTTTTTAATATTTCTAAAATAAATAAGTTTAATAAAGATAATTAATATATTCAATAAATTTTTAATTTTTTTATATAATAATAAGTAATGAAATAAAAATATTAACTTAATTTAAGTTAAAATTATTTTAGTTAAAAAATTAATACTCATTTTAAGAGCCGAAAGCCTTTGGCGTTGTTTTCAATAACGATCAAAAAATACATAAAGGATAAAGCCCTGAAATTATTAACGAAAACTGACAGGCTTACCAACACCGCGTTATTGTATCTCAGAATGGATGCAGGCTCCTCGGGCAAGAATGTAGATCTGAGGTCAGTTATTGCTTAGTCTGATGAAGTGATAAATAATAATCCAGTCAGGCGTAGAGAAGGGTTACGTTTAACTTATTTAAATAATTTTTTAAAATTAAATGTCGATTTAAAAGAATATTTTAAAAGCTTAATAAAACCTAACATTACTGCAGAAAAAAATCTATAACATTTAATTGTCTAACAAAGAGACAATAAAGTCCTGTATACAAAAGCAAGTTGTCACTGTTACTTATGGTACATTGGTTTTTTCTACATATCCTCAAAGGACGTTTCAAAATAAAATATTTGCTGCATTGTTTTGCTATATATCCTAAACTGCCTCGGGTGGGAAGCAATCATTGAGTGGGAAAAATTTATTTGTCCTAGTTTTTATGTTAAAAATTATTTCTGTTGATTTTTATTAAATTATATAAATCTTGTGAATAATTGTTGTGAGAAGTTGTTGTAACATGTGAGTTATTAAAACAAGTAAAATTTAAAATGAATAGTACAGATGACATCAAATATATTTCAACATTAAATGAACTTTAATTGAGTGTAGTATACTTAACTTACACTATAAAGCACAGTTAGTATAATGTTTGTTGGATTATTAATTAAAACGATATTATTTACAGCATAAGTTATTCTTTCTATAATATTTCTACATATTTATTTTTATATATATATTTCTATAAATATATTTCTATAATCCACATTAAACTTTTATTCTTAATAGCACTTATATTTTAGTTTAAGTTAATCAGTCTAGTTGACCAATTCAGAAAGACTCTACAGGTCCATTGTGATACCACTGCTCAACATAGGACCTTCTCTGTATTACTTATGAAACCATTTTGCAGCAATTATAGCGCGCTCCATGTTTTTAATCTTAGCACCGGACACATCTGCCAAATAGCTTATGATATATTTGTCATATAGCCGTTTCGAGTATTGCGAAGTATTCATTATCTGTGGTCTTTTGAAAAAGTTTTTTTTTTATTAACGATCCTTGGTACTTGCAATTTCAAATTAATTTTACTATGAAATTATTTTCATAGTTTAAATAGCAAATAATATTTTTTTTGGTGGCATTTCTTGAAATTATTTAAAATTCAACATCATAAAATTTATTTAAATAAAAAATTTCTAACTTTTTTAAAATATTTTGCAAAAATACTTAACCATAATGACCAATTTCATTGTCAAAACTTGCATTAAAAAGAAATGTTCCAACATTTGGTTTGAATGACTGAAGTCCTATGAATTTTTTATTATATGTGTAATTGTCTGTTATAAAAAAACTATTGTTGACATATTAGCAAACTAATAATATTAAAAAATAAATAAAATATAATTAGCATCTGTCATCGAAGCAATTTTTCGCTTCAGATACACGCAACCAACAACTGGTCCTTAACAAGTCTGTAAACTACAGTCAATTAAAAATGCTGTGAATTTTTAAATCGGATGAAATGCGATGACAGTTTCAAGCTCACCCATTTGCCAGTCGTTAGCTAACAAACAATTTATTAAACAACAATTTCCTTCCGAAAGTTTTTGAAGTAAAGTGGTTTTAAGTTTAAAATTACTTTGCGTTTTCTTAACAAAATTCTTTTTATTTTTTACTCGTTTTATTTATAACTTTTTTAGTCTTTAAACGCATTTTTGAGATTTATTTCCTTTGATGTTGTTTTGCGTTGGGAATTTACCACAAATATTTACAGGATTTATTTTTTTGATTGAATGTAAAATAATGTTTTGATTTAAAATATTTGCTAGCATATTTTAATATATGTAATATCTTACATATTTATTATTAATACATATATTACATATAAGTACACATTCGCTTTAATAAATTCATGCATTTTTAATGAAAAAAGCGACAAGTAGAATATCTTTATCTGCTCTCTTGTAACAAGAAAACTAATACATCTTGGTATTAAGCTTCTTGACCACATCCTTTCCTCTTAATTACTGAAATGAAGTTCCAGCGTTACGGTGAAAATCATTTAAATTCATTCCTAGAGGGTGCTTTTAGTGGTCTTACATAGTAGAATATTTTTGAGATTGATTATAGGAAATGGTGTGTAATACAACTAAAAATTAAAGGAGTCACAGAATCACGGAAAGTATTCGTAATGTAATGCTGCATATTTATTTTTAAGTTTTCTATATGGAAAATCTGATATATAGAAAAAATATGGCTTGTCGAAGTATAAGTCTAATTATTGCAATAGTCAGTGTTCTTATGAAAAAATATTGATCAGGCTGTGTTTATTAATCGCTTTTAACCTAAATACTGAATAAGTATATATATTAATACTATTAATTTAATATTAATATATGTTTTCTTGAAAATTACTTCCCACTTAGTGTGCAAATTGCCAGTCACAATATCTACATAAAATTCTATTACTAGGATAAAAATGTCCTTTAGAAAATAAATCGGTAACACATTTTTAGTTACTGTGAACAATTCCTTTAAGGCAACCGCTGAATATTAAAGTTCACTCGATTTTTTAATATTTAAATATAAAAGAGCAAAAATATTAACTTTAATACAGGCATTAAAACTTTTCTTAAAAATGATATCGTACGCAGTCAAAAGAACTCATACTCTTAACAATAATATCTCAACAAGCATTACGATTAAAATAAATAGCTTTCTCTCTATTTTTATTTAACTATAAATAGGCAGCTGAAGCTGGAAACTTGGATGATTTTAAACGTTTATATCAGGCTGACAACACACGCTTAGCTCTGCAGGATGGGAAAGGAAGAACGGCAGCACATCAAGCAGCCGCTCGAAATCGAGTAAACATCTTACGTTATATCGGTGATCAAAACGGCGGTAAGTTTCAATGGAATACTTAAATCGAAATAAAGAATGTGACATATTAATAAATATATTACAGATTTTAATACTAAGGATAATGCAGGGAATACGCCCTTACATATTGCAGTTGAGTTCGATGCTTATGATGCTATGGAATATTTGTTATCTGTGTAAGTGATAATAATCATAAAATTTATTGCTATAAATACATAAATATATTTTAATTAAAATATAATTAACTCATTTACTTATTTTAAATATTATTATTTTATTGCTTAATAGTCCTGTTGATACAAGTGTCCTCAATGATAAGAAACAAGCACCTGTTCACTTGGCTACAGAATTAAATAAATTTAAGTGCTTGTGTGTTATGGGCAAATATCGTAATGTTATTAACATACAACAAGGCGGCGAACATGGACGCACTGCATTACATATAGCAGCTATTTACGATCATGAGGAATGCGCACGTTTACTGGTGAGTAAATTTATTTTTGAATTTTATTATAACATATAAATATTATAAAATATTAATTACATGTTTTAATTAACATTTTATCTTAGTTTCTAAATAATTTATGTTAATCTGTGTAATTATTTTATTGTTTTATGTACTAAACATTATTAAATAGTAAAACTATAAGTCAGTGTCGTATCTAAATAAACTGCAATATTTAATTTCTGATTTAAATTAACATCCTATTTTATTGTATATTAGTTTTAATTTAAATAAATATTAAATATTTTATATTTACTTATTTCTTTCTATAATTTATTTCAATTGGAATAAATAAATTAAAACAAAAAGGTTAATTTGTATAAAAGAATATTTTTAAAACATTGTAAAAAAACAAGCGGTCAATGTATCGCAATGGAATTAATGTGGAATTATTTTTCGGACTTTAGTCTTTATTTTTATATGAACTTATAAAAAATATATTATAAGACACAAAAGTTATGAATGAAATATTGGGTGGGAAAAAGGAAACATTTCTATTATATTTAAAGAACTTCCTTCATAATTGATCACTCTGTTTACATTTTTCCATAATTTATTTTATTTATATTAAAAAATTATCGGCATCTATATAAATCAGTAGTTCCCAACCTTCTTTTCCTCTAGGACCACATGATATTGTTGTTTTTAATATGCTTTATGCATCTCTGGTATTATATAAAATGAATTATGTAAGTGCATAGGTACATTATATAAATATAAAATTTTTAAATTTTTTTTTTTCTAAAAAGTGAAGTCTCAGTGGACAAATTACAATTTGTGAATTGGAATACCAGATTCACGGATCAATTTTAACCATCTTGTAGATATCGTATGGTTCGCGGACCACCGGTTAAGGACCACTGATATATATATACAGCTTTAGTAGAACTTTTTGAAGTCTTACAAAAATAACATTATTGGCTGCTCTTTATTGCTTCTTAGTCTTAAAAATAATAAGATACATAAACCATATATAAAGTGCTTCAATTCTTTGAATCTTTTCTGCGGCAAAAAAATTCAAGACAAGGCCAATATTAATTTTGTTAAAAAAACTTGTAATCACATACAATCATATTAATAAATGTATAAAGAACTTAAAATCAACATAAAAATAAAAACTTTAATTGCCAAATACACTTATTACTCTTTAATAATTAAAGACATATTTAAAGTCTTTAAAGATAAAGATATCTCTGTGTTATAAATATTATGATCAAACATCTCTCAACTGGAATCTATAGGAGCAATTGTTCATATTTCACCCTCTAGTTGATTTATGTAGAACATAAACGCAGTGTACATTTTCAAAATTACTGATTACTGATCAATTACTAATATTATTATTACCCATTAGAAAGGCAAATAAAAACCTTATCCGAAGATCTGTAATACTAATTACAGTAACAATCTGAAAAAGAAGTCAAGGATTAATCCCTAAAAAAATGTACAAACTTATTGATAATAAATTTTGGCAATGTTTTATATATTTGTATATAAATTAATTATTTCTATAACATATTAATTTTTTTTTTACTCAACTATATTAGTTATTTATTTTACTTATTATTCATATGTTATTTACTAACAAATTCTTTTTAATTTGCTTAATGGGTTTGCATGATATATGTGCGTGTATTCTGATTTTCAATTTATATTGACTTTCATTATACATTATTTTACTTTAGCATAGTCAGTTGTAATTAAAAATATTGAGTATGTTATATGGTATTTTTACAGATAACTGAATTTGGTGCATGCCCCCGTAGACCCTGCAACAATGGTTACTATCCCATACATGAAGCGGCAAAAAATGCTAGCTCCAAAACGATGGAAGTTTTTTTCCAGGCGAGTATCTTTAAAACCAAATGTTTTGATTGTATTTATTGTTGCTTTGTTTGCGTCCGTATATCTTTCAATATCTTATATCTTACTCTATGATTACTTATAATTAAATACAATAAGTGTTGATTCACCGATATTTTTAAAAATTATTTCTTTGTATTTTGATATTATTTTTTAAAATTTTTATATATGTATTAATTTTGTAGTATAACATATGTTAGGTAATAAAAATAGTCTCTACTATATTTCGTCGTTAGATGGTGTTAGTATCCATATGTCAAGCCAATACAAAATATTAGTTTTTGATATAGATCATTTTTATTCAAATATATATCTGAAAACGGTGGTCGGTTTTTAGCACCCGATATCATAAAATTATCGAAAGAGAATTTAAGGAGAAGCTAATATTACACCTACTCTGTTTCAATGGAAATTGTTGTAACTTTTGATATATCTAATTTTTTAATTCCTCTTTTTTACCTTTTATTATCAACTCCATTGATTATTATCATATTCTTTATACATAATCAAATGATTTTTTTTAGAAAATGTGAATACTTTTTTTTTTAGTTAAAATATTTCTCATTTTTATAGTTATTCCTCCTAAAACTATGTCAGATTTCAATTAAAATATTGTCCCCTCTTCTTCTTAAATGTGATACATCGATTGCAAAGGTTTTTAAATAAGCTAAAAACTGTTGTAGAGTAATTAATATATAATTTTATTTTATAAATGGAAATACGTCACATGTGCCTCTCCGTTCTTCTGCTCCGCTATACTCCGTTCTTCTGGCTAGGCTCATAAATTAAAATATCTTACAGAAATTTAAACGAGGCAATTACATCAAATAATTATGAAATAATTTCTCACGTCATGAGTAGTTCTCTATTATGCATAATTAGTACCTTATTTAAAGTAAATCTTAAAAAAATTATTATTTTTCATTTGATGTAAATATGTCATATTTTTTTTTTGTAAATTATATTTTTGGTTAAAGGCTTTTAAAAAGTTTTTTTACATATATTTAAAATTATAAAACTTAAACATTTATTTATACATTTCTATTTTAATTAATTTTAATTGTATATTATTTTACTTTATTTTATTTTTTTTTTAATCCCTTGATGATAACAAATACACAGATATGTGTTTAACTATCGCTCCTATTGAAGCATAGCGTAGCTTTTTTACCGTTTCTCGAGTACGAAAAAAGATCTTATCCGGCTAATTTACCACTTTAACGCGGATCATATAGTACTTCGATAGATTTCCTAACTAAATCCGTTGCAACTGCCGTTGACTTTTGTTTAAGTTCATCCGCCTTCACCTTATCCTACTACACACTAAACTGGCGTAAACTTTCAGTACTCCTCTTTCGCGTACCTTGTCGTCTACTGAGGTTGGGTATCCAATGTTAGAAAATATTACTAGGGTTGACAGGGTCACCAAGTGCAGGTGGAGGCTGGAATTTGCAGAAGGAGAGACTTAAGGCAGTAACTAAGGCTACTCTTTTCTAGCAATTCATAGTTGCTTCAAAAACTTCCAGTACTCCTCTATCGCGTACCTTGTCGTCTACTGGGGTTGGGTGTCCAATCTTAGAGAATGTTGTTAGGATTGATAGGGTCACCACGTACAGGTGAAGGCTTGAAATTTCAGAAGGAGAGACTAAAAGCAATAACTAAGAATACTCTTTTTCAGCAATTCATAGTTGCTTCATAGTTTGACCTCGTATTATATATTTAATTAATTTTAATTTTTTTAAATAAATTAGTTTTAATTGTATGTTGTGTCTTAAGAATATTGAAAAACATAGAATCGAAAAATTATCTCAAATAAAGTATAATTGTGCTTAACATGTTTATTGAATTTAAACAATAAAATTACTATTTATTGAATTTAAATTGCCCAATAAAATAATAGATATTTGAGATATTCAATATTAAATCTATATACTACAATCAAACAACATTCAACTCAATTTCTACTTTTTTTTTAAGTTTGATTCCATATTTTTAAAAAAGTTTTACACAAAAATTGTTACTCATACGCAGTGTATGGCTAACTTTTGTTTTATCTGCTAAACTATTTTATAACTTAATTTTAAATGATAAATGCTTGCTAACGATGCATCTTTATACGTTTAAATCTTCTTCAAAGAACTTTTCAGTAATAAATTGAATTAAATAAAATTGTGGTAAAACATAGTTTCTGTAGGAATATTTGTTGCATGAATAAATCTAAAGCATTTTCTATATAATCCGCATGTTAAAAACTAAATAGTATAAATATAAACCCACTTGTGTATATCTTCACAAAGACAAGAATAGGATGCTTCTGAATGTTAAGCTTTATTTGTTAAATACTTTAGTAGATAGAAAACAATTACCAAGAATCTTTATTAGATTCGGACATTAAAGCGTAAGAACTTTTCAAATAAAATAACTTGACATTTAAATATTTAGCATATAATTTGAATGAAAAAATCTCATGTATTATATGTTAAATAGTTCTATAATTATAATTTTTCTCATTTCTAAATAGTGGGGCGAACAACGCGGTTGCACACGTGAGGAAATGATATCGTTTTACGATTCGGAAGGTAATGTACCACTGCACTCTGCAGTGCATGGAGGTGATATCAAAGCTGTGGAATTATGTCTCAAATCAGGAGCTAAAATATCGACACAACAACACGATCTTTCTACGCCAGTGCACTTGGCGTGTGCTCAGGTAAGTGTCATATATTTAATAGGAAAGCTTGTAAATATATTTAGATACCTTCTGCTCAAAAAGTACTCGGATTTTGTAAATAAAACACAAATTTAAATTTTATTCCAAATTTATTTTATCTCCTTCAAAATATGCACCTTCTGAAGCGATACACATATGCCAAAGTCGCACGGTTTCAGATCTGGTGAATATGGTCCCTGAGCAATGACAGTGGTGCCGTGTTAATTCAAAAAATCGCGTACCTAAAGAATTTTCCATAGTTAAAATCGCTAAATGCACTTAATGTACTTTCACATTAACAGTTGCTGTAAGCAAACTAATTAACAGATGGCGCTCAAATTTGTACCATATGTCAAGAAAGAGTGTACCAACATAACAAAATTTTTGGAAAAGGTCTATTAACATACTTAAGGAGTAGTTAACAAACAACAAAATCCGGTTACTTTTTGAGCAGAAGGTACATATAGATTAAAAAAGATAAAAGTACGTAGCAGATAAAGTAAAAATTATTATTGTTTTGTCGTTATACCTACACGTATTTGGAAAATTACATGAAAATGTTACTTTAAAATTATTATAGCAAAATGTGTCTATAAATCAGATTCCGTATATTTACAAATATTGACAGTTGCTGGAAAAAAAGGAAATTTTACGCATACCACGCATTACTTCAGTGAGTTCCAATAGTAATTCAGACAATGACGCGAATATTTGAAGCATGTTTGGCATTTTTACGTAGAAATTGACTGCTCGTTTAAATCAAAGAAGAAGTCTTTGCAGTTCTGAAACTGGAAATATTTAAATTAATTCAATTTCATTCAACATATTTTATTAAAATTGGAAAATATATATCACATTTTGTGGTACGAAGGTTGTTCAATAATTGTACTTCGTTTGTTTCAATAGTGAAACTATAAGTATTTAAGTATTTTCAGAAATATTCTGAACTAAATTTTTGTTTAAACTTCAAAGTCAATAGAAATTCTTTCAACAAAATTAGTATAAGAGTTTTGTTTAAACAGAATTTCCTTTAACAGAATCAGTGACGTACGATACGTGACAAAATCCTACAAGAAGTAGTAATGAAAGTATCTTTGGATATTCAAAACAGTATTACCTTTTAAAGGAAACTTGATATAATATAATTTTTTGCAAAATCTAAAGTTCTAAAAACTCAGTTCTCTAAATTATATTTTATAAAAAATAAAAAAAAAAAGAACCCTCGACAAGGTTTGAGCATAATTTATCTTTAAGATTTAAGGACAAAAAATATCTTGAACGAAAATTGATATGCCTGCAGATGTTAAGGTTAACAACCGTAGTTGTCCTTTAGAAAAAATATTGCTTTTCTGTATTAATTAATTTTATATATATTTAATTTTTTTATATTAAATAGTCTTTTACCTTCTATCAAAGAACACCATTGCATAAATTTTAAATAAAAAATATTAATGGAAAATGGACTTTAATGCTAAAAGACTGAAATTATTGAAAATAAAGAAACATACATGTTTAATAATTCTGATAGCAGTTAATTTAAAATATATTATAACTAAATTAATTTGTATCGCTTTTTATACAAAACGATGACTCTTAGTCAGAGATCTACTTCAGACAGTTCACTCATTTATATTATACACTTATGGCTTCACAATCTTCTTTGGTACTAAGTTTGGTACGTACTACAAACATAATCTTCTTTGTTGCATTAACTTCCAGCAGAGCACAGGACCTCAACAATTCCTCTGGATCGTATTCTATTTGGAGCTGTCGTTCCATGAGTAGCGCGCTGATGTTAGTTCGGTATCAATTGTCCTTCGCCATGTTCTTGAAGGAGCGCCAGGCCGGCGACTTCCGTGCGGGTTCCACTTCAGGATTTGCTTAACGATGCAGGAATTCAACTTGCGTAACGTATGTCCGATCCATTGCCAATTCGTTTTTTTGATTTCGTTCTCGATGCTTTGTATGTTCGCTGTTTTCCACAATTCCACGTTAGAGGTGCGTTCTGGCCACCATATTTTGAAGATGCGTCTTAAACATTTGCTTATGAAAGTTTAGGTTCGCGAATTAATGGATTTATTAAACATCCATACAAAGATAATACCAACGAATTGTTTTTAAACCAGGAAGTAGTTAACTACAATAGCTTGCTGTATTACTAAAAAGTAATGGCAAAAAAAGTACATCGGCATCTGCAATAACATTCGAGTTTCACTTAAAGTACTTGTTAATCCCTCATATTCTGCAATTGAGGATATAAATGCATCTATTATAGAATAACAATCACTTTAAAGTGATTAAAAGTCAACGTTAACATCTCAAGTTCTTCAAGGATGATCAGTGTTAGATAAAGAATACAGGACATGACAAGGGATCCTGGTCGATTTTTGCACAAATTTTCCAACAAATAACTGAGAGATTATGTCACCAGATGGCAATTGTGCCAAATTTGCACCTTCGGATAAATGTTCCAATAGTATATATCCTCACACTTTTTTCTAATGAAATACAAGAACTTATACTTTGTATAATTTATTATTTCGCACTTATGCCTTAAGGTAAACCATTAATTAAATTGTATAATTTTATATTACAGTATGTAAGGACTACATGTTTTATAAAATTAAAGTCACACATACACAGAACTAATGATGTATGCGTTCAATCACAATATTTACCTATTTTTACACTCGAATATGCACTCGTGTATTTCATATACACAAAATTACATGAATTTTGGAGAAGTTTCTCTTGGAATGTTTCACAACTGCACTTTAACTAATGTGGTTCCTAGAAATTACAAACATTTTAATGCAAATAATTAAAGAATTGATTAGTTGCCAACAGCATCAGTTCTTGAACTTAATTTGCGTATTGTATCTAAATGTCAGTAAAAATAGAGGTAAAGGTCTATTAGCTGCAATCTTTAATTATTGCAATTATTTAAAATTTTATATTCAATAATATTAGAAAGATAATATCAAACGTACACTTTTAAAATACATTTTTAAAAATTTATTTCAAGGTTTTATTATAAATTTTTTTTAATATGTAATCTGGATTCAGTCTAGATTTTCTCTCGATCTGTCAAATTATATTGTCCAATTGACCATTTTTTTAGGTCGTACACACTTATGCTTAGTTTTCACTAAGTCAATTATAATTGACTGGTGTGTCAAATGCGTTGTCATTAAGAGAATGCGAATATGACATCATATGACTACCCGTTTTGATTATACTGACAATATTTGACATGAAAATGACATAGTGAATACAAGGCATTACAATTTTTACATCGAATCAATTCAGAGTTTATCTGTGAAATCATATAAAGAAGTTGTTTAATATCAGGGTAATCATGCTATTCTGGCAAAATATTTAGTGTTATAAATTAATCTCGAGTGTTACATATTTTGCTCCAGATTTACTAATCGAAAATAAAATTGCATGAAAATTGCATTTAAATAGTATCTTGAAATTATCCATAATATTTTATACACACATAAATATTCATTTTAATAATTTATTCGTAGGGTGCAATTGAAATTGTCAAGTTAATGTTTACAATGCAACCGCTTGAGAAAAGAATCTGTCTTAGTTGCACAGACGTACAGAAAATGACACCTTTACACTGTGCATCTATGTTTGATCATCCCGATATCGTTGAGTATTTAATTAGAGAGGGTGCTGATATCAATGCACTGGATAAAGAGCATCGTTCACCTTTGCTTTTAGCTGCATCCAGATGTGGTTGGAAAACTGTACATGTACTTATACGTCTAGGAGCAAATATAAGCGAAAAGGATTCGAATGCACGAAATGTGCTACACTTTGTCATTATGAACGGTGGACGTTTACCAGATTTTGCTGAAGAAGTCAGTAAGACTCAATCACATTCACAATTGGAACATTTGCTTAATGAAAAAGATAATACTGGTTGTTCACCATTGCATTATGCCAGTCGTGATGGACATATACGTTCACTTGAAAATCTCATCCGTTTGGGCGCTTGTATTAATCTCAAAAATAATAATAATGAAAGTCCACTACACTTTGCAGCACGTTACGGTCGTTACAATACAGTGCGACAATTGTTAGACTCCGAAAAAGGCTCCTTCATTATAAATGAAAGTGATGGTGTTGGCATGACACCTTTACACATTGCTTCACAGCAAGGACATACACGTGTAGTACAATTATTGTTAAATCGTGGTGCTTTACTACATCGGGATCATAATGGACGCAATCCATTGCAACTGGCCGCTATGTCTGGTTATACACAAACCATTGAATTACTGCATTCTGTGCATTCACATTTACTGGATCAGGTTGATAAGGATGGTGTAAGTTAAATTAAATTTATTTTATTTTATTGTATTTTAATATTTATTGTATAATTTATTATCAGAATACCGCATTGCATTTAGCTACAATGGAAAATAAGCCTCAGTCAATTTCTGTGTTGCTTTCAATGAACTGCAAATTGCTTTACAATTATATGGACATGAGCGCTATTGACTATGCAATCTATTACAAATATCCGGAGGCAGCTTTAGCTATGGTTACGCATGAAGAGCGCGCCAATGAGGTTATGATACTAAAGTCCGACAAGCATCCTTGTGTAACCTTAGCACTTATTGCATCTATGCCAAAAGTGTTTGAAGCCGTACAGGACAAATGCATTACTAAGGCTAATTGCAAAAAGGACTCCAAAAGTTTTTACGTAAGTTATCGTTGATATAAAATTTTTAAATATTTGTTAAAATGCAAACTTATTTGAATAAATATTAAAAACTAACAGAACAAATATTAGAAAATGAAATAAAAATATTGTATGTAAAAGTACATAAACCACTTTTAAGTGAATTTAATATTTGCACTGAGTTCTTGCACTTCAAAAAATATAAACTTAAAAAAATATCCATGATAAATTTTGTGATAAATTGACTGAAAATGCTTTGCAACCTTACTCATACTAAATCAATCTGAAGTGAAATAACCCTTGTTAAGCAAGAGTATCTTATTGATGACACGAAAGTTGAAAGTATGAAACTTAATATTAAAGAACAATGTTAAACTTATATACATTGTAAATTTATGTTTGTATAAAATGAAATCTTTAAATTTGAAATCGTATATAGTCTAAAGACCTAAACCATGTCTTATTTATATAATAAGTAATTTAAAATCCTATTGATATCTATTTATCTTTAATTAAGTCATCTAATTAAAAAACTCTAATTTTTCAAGTTATAGTAACATATATATCTCACTTTTCAAGCATCCGATTTCAAGCATAGTGCATCCGAATTCATAAAAAAACTTTACAAACTGCAATTGTAATAATATTAAATTTATTCAGGATCTTTTTTGCTCACATCGCCTATATTAAAGTTGTCTATTTTGCATCCTAAAGTGGGATTTATTTTAACTGACACAATACTTCAAGTATTAATACTTATTAGTACTAGTATTAGTACTTAATACCCATAAAGACAAAAGAAATTGTTGCCCCCAAAAGATTTGCGTCAAGGGTTAAGTATAATACCTAAGGCCTAAGGATTGTGAGTAATATGTTACAAATAAGTAAAACATGAAACAAAAAAGTCTAGAACTATAGTGCTGTAAAAGCTAGTTATTTATGTATAAAACCTGACTCTATGTTACCTGATAAAAGGTTACTTAATAAAAATGGTCAATGTTATTGTTAATGTTTAATTGATTTATGGGGCAAGTGTCTTTACCATTCTTACGTCATTTTAGTAATGACCATTCTAAGTATTAACTTAACAACATTACATATGTACTTCTCAATTTATGATAATTTATTTTGTAATGTTTTGATATCTCCTCTATTTGTATTATATATATAAATATAATTTTTTTTCTGTTTTCGACACGAATCAACAAAAAACACAGACTAAAAACATATCGAAAATATTCTTTTTACCTAACACCAAAAATAAACGCTAAAAAATAGTGTTTTTTACTATAATAAATTATAGTGCCGAATAACAATAAAAAATATACTAAAAAAATGGCTTAAACTGGTTACACAACGTATTTTGTTGTTCTGTCACTATCCTTTTTCACTAGAATTCACTTTAATAGTGAAATTTTAACTAAAACATTCATTACATTCATAAAAAGTTCCTTGAAAATTGCACTGTCTTCATCAAAACTTTGCTAAGAAGTACATTATGTTCATAAGTAGACCACTAGAATGTTCAATAAAAATTTATATAGTACATAATAATTTTAGTGTTTGTAATCGTAAAAATTTGACTATACAACACACTACGTTTGCTGAAAAGTACACTACGTTTATTAAAACATCATTGAATTGTGGAATGAATGAACAGAAGGTATATCACGTTAATGATAATTTCGATAAAAAGCACAATAGATTTATTAATTATCATTATCATTAAAATGTTCATCACGAAATAAGTATAAAAAAGTTGTATACAGTATGCTATATTTTAGTGTTCTTTTAGTGTTTGTGTTCTTAAAAAGATTATTCAAAAGTACACTAATTTTCAAAAAAAATTTACTTAAAACTACACTACATTCATAAAAAGTTCACTTCAAATTTTGTATAATAAAGTTGGACACTATAGTTTAAATGTTTGTCTTTATAAAAAAAAATAACTAAAAAATAACTTCGCTATAGTTTACACAACTTTCATGAATAAATAATATATTCATTCAATATTATGTATGAGATGGTCTGACACAGTATAGCACTATTTTAGTGTGTTGTTCGCGAAAGACTTTGAAACTATTAGGTGTACTGTTCTGATAGTGCGTTTTTGATACACTAGTATTACTGAATACTGTATATCGTTCAGTACTGTTTCGTATTCTTGTAATACGCACTTATTTAAAAGAAGATACAACATCCATATCCTCATAATATGATATACTTTTACATAAAGAAGTAAAGTTCATTCGAAAAGGATTATAGTGAGTTTGATTTTGTTGTGACAAAATGTAAAAAAGGATAAAGAGGATGATTCAATGTGTTTAATCACATTTATATAATATTGTGTTTATAACATTTTAATATAATAATATTATATTTATATAATAATATATAATATATATATATATGACATTATATAATATTGTATCCTTTAACTATTTTAATTTATATATATACTTTTTATTTTATATTTATTTTTTTAATTATTTTTCTAATTTAATATTTATTTTTTTATTTATTTATTACATTTTTTAAATTTATTTAATTTATTTTAAAAATACTACACCTATTCCTATACTGATAAACCTTCTTTCGAATATTGGGATAGTTGTAGTTATTAATATTATTTTTAGACCCAAATTTTCTGGTACATTGAGAACAAATGTACTTTTTTGATACTAGTACTACATATTACAAAAATTTAGAATGCGACATTATGCCTAAAGGGGCGAAGATTTTTTTCACAACTTGAGACATATTTTCAAATCCTTGCTTAACACAATAGGTATATATAAATGAATCTTTGTTTTTTTTCTAATTACTGAAAATAAATAATATATTAAGTAAAAATCTTGAAACATATATGTTAATAACAACTAATCATCTCTTTATTTATGATTTTTGTACAAATTAATCAATTTATGTATTTTTATTTAATTCCATATGTTTATAAGAACCAAATAGTAGGTTCTTTATAATTCTATATATTTTCTTTAAGTTGACATTATTAAATTTAAATTCTTCTATGACTGTAGATTAAGTATTCATTCGCTTTCTTGCAATGTCATTTTATGTTCGCCAAAATCGATGAACGCACTGGTGAGCCAGTTTTGCAAAGTAACCCAACACCTTTACCAGCATTAAATGTAAGCAGATGGAGTGATTGTCTCCATCAATAAATTAAAATTTACAAGTCTTTTGTTTATATTTCAGTTTATATTTTATCATTGTGATATTAACCATATTTTTTTCAAAATTCAAAACATAGACGAAACGCCTTAGTACCCACTTCTTGCCGCTAGCTCCGTTTTAATAATTATCAATTTGAAAATATTGTAGATTAAATAATTACCATTAAAATTTTATTTAATAAAATAACTGAATAATCTATAAACATAGAAATTCATTAATCTAATATCTTATTTCAAATTATTTATATGTACAGATAAAGTACTCTTTCCACCCATTCCAACTATCTCACGAAGAGATCGAAAAACGTAAGCTACTACTTAATGATCCAAAATGGCGACCGGCGCCATTGTGTGTAGTTAATGTAAGTTTTTTTGAATTTTTTTTGTTTTGCACAACTTTTTTAATGACTTCAGTAATCTAATTGTACTTGTCTAAGGTGATTGTATTAAAAATAATTGTTAGCACATTAAAAGATAAAGTTAGAGAATTTAAAACGTTTAAATTTTGGAGTAAATATTGCACTGTAATCGTCTCGTTCGTCCATGTTCCTAACAATTTTTCATTATTCATTTTAATTTAATATATAAATAATTATTTCAATTACTAAATTCTTTATGTTAAAAAAATATATATATTTATTTTAATTCTTATATTAATATTTTCTTTTCATCAAATTTTCTGCAATTGCTTTAAAGACCATGGTCAACCATGGACGCGTCGAACTTTTAGCTCATCCATTGAGTCAAAAATATTTACAAATGAAATGGAACTCTTATGGAAAATATTTTCATCTAACTAATCTCTTGATATATTCAATATTTTTATTGTTTGTAACAATTTATTCGTCCTTAATGATGAATGGTATTGAATTACGGAATGCGGCAAATAAACAAGAAATCAATATCAGTAAAAACGAGTAAGTACTTTTTATATTTTTACTTACAAATGTAAAATAAATAAAAATAAATTTTTATAGAAATAAAAATTTTATGAATTTATGTTCATTTTTACAGATTCGAAGGACATAACCATTCCAATTGGTTCCCAGCAGTAGCTCCAGATATCTTGCTAAATACTCCATGCTATGAAAGCATTCGAAAATCATCAGCTATTGTTGTATGCGCGGTTGCTATTATTGTCTACATTACCTTGAACTCTTTGCGCGAGATAATTCAAATGTATCAACAACGTCTGCATTATATACTGGAAATAGTTAATCTGATCTCTTGGGTATTATATATATCAGCATTGATAATGGTTACCCCTGTTTTTGATGCTGATGGTAGAATCAATACAATACATTATTCCGCTGCTTCGATAGCTGTGTTTTTGTCATGGTTTAGATTGTTGCTATTCTTACAACGCTTTGATCAAGTGAGTATCATTAGAAGAAAATTGTATTATTTTATTTTTTTAATTCTAGAGTTAGTTAGTAGGAACTCACTAACAGAAATTTCAGATTATGATAATACGAATGTTTTTATAACTAATATATCAAAACCAATACCGCTTAGTAAAATTTTTGAAAGAGTTATGTTTACTGTTAGTTACTTAATAGCCAGATTTAACTAATTATATATATGGTATATATGGTTTGTTAATTATATACAAATCTTAACTGATCTACATATTTTCAGTAAAACACTTATAAGTGTTGTAATCAAAATGTAACGAGAATTTTAAATTATTTCATAAATTATTTATTGTATCATAAATAGTTATTCCAACTCCTTTATTGATATTATGTAGTTCTGTTACCATAGTTTTTGAGAAACATTCAGTTCTTGAAAAATATATGCTGACGGATATCAATTTTATATTGTTTTGTTTTTGAACTTGTAGGAAAAGTCTTCTAAAAATACAAATAGCCAGTACTATTTGCATTAGTTATACATGCCTATATACAAACTAAAAAGTCCCCACATTATCAGCTCAAATTCCTGGAGATTCCTACATTACAACCACTTAAGGCATTCCTTCACAGGGTAGGTTAGAATAGCACTTAATGTGCTTTAACTCCGCATTCGAACTAAATATTTCGTCAGTTTTAATGATGTTTATTATTCTAGAAATTATGTGCTTGTAGAGGTTAGAATCTTCAGTGCTTATCAACATCTGCTTTTCTTTAGAAGAAGAACTAGCTTCCCTGATTAGTGTCTTTAGATTTTATCCACGATTTTGTTTACGAATCTTATATTCTCTAATTATATGTTCGGAACCCTCAATTTTATCTGGGCAAAACTGTAGTACGGACTACTTTTCAATCTGAACCGGTACAAGTATTGACGGAAGTAAACATGCACCGTAAGAAATTGCGGGAGACTTGAAATGCAATGAAAGTCTCCAGTTACTCGATTAATCCAAACTTTGATATTTGGAATTAGCAAGTGCGTCCAACTTGATTTTTGGGAATGAAATAAGAATCTAAAGAAGATTGCTCAGTTTCAGTAATTTGTGGTGGAGATAAAAACTCCACCTGTCTAAAACTGTCTCTGACCGCGAGTGCTTCAAGGTCTATTAGCATACGACCAGTACAGCATATCTTTAGGTTTAACAGTCTAAGCCTCACCGACTTGGAAAGTGAGACTAAAAGCACTCTAGCGATTCTTTTAGGGATCCATTTATTTTTGGACAAATTTATTTGTACATTTACTTCATTTAAATTCGAAATTATTGTATATTAATTTGATACAGTGTACATATGATAATTATAAAACATATTTTTGATATTTTCAGGTTGGAATATATGTTGTAATGTTTCTGGAAATCCTACAAACGCTCATTAAAGTATTATTGGTTTTCTCTATACTTATAATTGCATTCGGTCTGGCATTTTATATTCTATTGTCGAAGGTAAGTAATCGATTATTTTATAAACGGATTTATAGATAATCAAAATGGACCCACATACACATAAAGATTCAAATAGTTTAATATACAAGTGTTTAAACTCATTTAAACAGATTATTTTGGAAAGTAATATACAGAGCAAATGAACACATTTAATTTGTATTTACTAGTTGAAAAGGATTTAAGCTATTTAGAGGGTTATGAACCCCAAAACTACGATTTTTTTACGATACTAGATCAAGATTCAAAGCAACAGCATTCAAGTAGCCTTAAAATTAGTTATAAAAATTTAACAAAATAATTTAAATTCTTCAATAGAGAGATAATATGCTCAATAGATAATATGTAGAACTGTTTTTTAATTTAATGGTTTATTTCACAAAGATATATATTTAAATTACTCGTAACTTTAGCCCATTGAAGTAGCAAAACCACTGGATCTTGACACGAACTAAAATAAATCACTTAATCACATCTTCCTCCCATTCTCATAATCTTTTTCCAGACCATACCCTATACCACCATGCCTTCTCATCACACTGCACTAACAACTCACTGTAGTGGGTTGCTAGACTGCCGCTATTTTTATCCCCCTGTCACCCTATCCCCCTGTCACCCTATCCCCCTGTTTTTTAAATCCATTAAAACAAAACTCAATAGATATATAGTTTTAAATGTATTTATTTTCTCACATAGATAATTGATCCTCAGCCGAATAATTTATCATTTTCAAACATACCGATGTCTTTGCTTCGAACCTTTTCCATGATGTTGGGTGAACTTGATTTTGTTGGCACTTACGTACATACATTCTATCGCGATCAATTGAAGGTACCTGTAACTTCATTTCTGATTTTAAGTAAGTATTGGAAGTAATATTCAAGTATTTCATATAATACCAAAAACAAAAAAAAACTTGATAATTTCTTTTATTACTTTACAGGCGTTTTTATGATCTTGATGCCAATTCTTCTCATGAATCTGCTCATCGGTTTGGCAGTCGGCGATATAGAATCTGTTCGACGAAATGCACAATTAAAGCGTTTAGCCATGCAGGTTAATTAGAATAATATATAAATTAAAATTTATAAACTATAATTAATAATCATTACAGGTGGTACTCCACACTGAGCTGGAACGCAAGCTTCCGCAAGTGTGGCTGCAGAAAATTGATAAAATGGAATTAATTGAGTATCCAAATGACACCAAATGCAAATTGGGTTTTATGGATTTCATTCTACGTAAATGGTTTTCAAACCCATTTAGTGAGGAATGTAAGTAAATAGTTAAGATTAAATACGTCTAGTTTTCATATACTTAAACTAATGCATTTATTTTGGATTTAGCTTCTTTGGATGCTATTCCCTTTGAAAACAGTGATGACTACATCAATGCTGAATTGGATAAGCAAAGACGTAAATTACGTGACATAAGTCGTTCTCTAGACCAACAACATCATTTGTTACGCTTAATTGTGCAGAAAATGGAAATAAAAACTGAGGCTGATGATGTTGATGAAGGTGTTAATCCAAACGACATGCGGTCCTTGTCATCTTATAATACTGTTTCTGCTAGTTCTCGTTGGACTTCACCGAGGATACGCACCAAACTTAGCGCAGCATTAAGTTTTAACAAAAGTTTTGAAACACGTTGGTAAATTTTATTTATTTATTCTTTTTTAATTTTATATATTATATATAATTGTCTTTTAATGAACAAATTTATGTAAATGGGTTAGAAGAAAATTTTTTATGACCATTTTTGACACTGCAACAATTATAAAATAATTAAAAAAGAATTTTTTTTAGTACCAACTAGAGCATGCTTCCTTAACGGCCCACACGTAGATCTGTTCCGGGCTGCGCTATTAGCACCAACGGTTCCTAATGTACTGTATTTTCAACTTCAAAGATATTATATTTTGGAAAAATATTAGTACAAGTCCTTACGAAACCCAATGAATATTTTACGGGTCCGTAACACTTTTAGAGTAAAACTAACTCACTGCAATAGACAAATATAATTAATAATATAGATATTTCTATATATAAACAGAACATCACCGTACTTAAAACAAGGATTCATTTATTTATTTATTAAATAACGACTGTTTTTTTTTTTAATATCACACTACAGTTTCAAAAAACGATTAGGTTAAATTGCGTTAACCAGGCTGGTTGTTCATACCGTTACCAGATAGAGGTAAAAATTTCTGTATATTTTTGTATTAGACATTTTTGCAAATCTAAGGAGTGTTTGAAACTCTATTCTTGAAATATTGCAATATTGAAATATTGCAAATATATCTGAATATATATTATATATATATATATATATATTATTATATATATTATATATATTATTATATATATTATATATATTATTATATATATATATAATATTGCAATATCTGAAATATTGAAATATATTCAGAACAGACCTTGTTGGGATTTAAACTTAAACTTTGTTTGCCATAGTTCACATTGTCGAGGAACATATGTTTTGTCTATGATGCTTTCTATCGTTCACTATCTTATTACCTTTTTACATATTTTTAGCTCATTGAAGATTTTTCATATTTACAAAATAGTTTCTAAATCATTCAGAGATATTAAACAGTTTTTTTTTTGTTCATTGATATTACTTTAAACGATATTTTTTACTAAACTTAGTCCTCTGTCATAAGAAGAGGACTACCAGAATAATCGTATATAACAGTGGTTCTCAAACTTTTTTGACCAAGGACATCTCTGTTATAATGAATATTGAATTGTATAAATGCATAGGTACCTTATATAGACTATAAAATAGGTATATAATTACTTAGAAATTTTTTATCTTTTTTTCTAATAAGTAAGGTCTTAATGGACAAACTACATGCTATGTATCCATACCTGTTAAATTTGATTTACGGAACATTTTTACCATATCGCGGACCACCGGTTAGGAACCACTGTTATATATAATAGAATTGTAGTGACGAGAGTTGGGCACTCGTGTGTACCTGTACTTATTTTTTTGATAAAGCAATTTATATTTAAAAAATAATTTATTTAAATACTAGATATACTCGAATTTTTTTTTAAGGTAAAAAGGATATTTTTTAAAATATATAATTAATATTTTTTCATTTCATTTCAGATCGCAGATTTTGATCCATTTACTTAGAATGGCGATAATATAAAATAATATAAATTTTTTATGAATTATATATGTTAAAGTATAAATTAAAATTATTGATACTAATTTTACAAAATATATTTACTATACCATATATATAAAATAAAAACAAAAATCACTTATCTTAAAAGTGTCTGGATATCGTAATTATCGTAAATGTATTTTCTGATAATTCTTTATATCTCATATCTAAAATTAAGACTTTCTCAATGACAAACAACTAGTGTCCTTTCCGCTTAAATTTATTGTATCTAAATGTTGCTAAGCAAAAAGGAAAAACCTTATTATCTTTTATCAAAAAAAAAAAAAATTGAATCTTAAAATTAAAATATTAGGTAGTTGAACTGACGAGAAAAGAGAAGGGTGCGGAAAAAAAATATTAACTAAATCTTTAAATACAATATATACCTGACTAACGAATTTATGGATAGAAAAGAAAAATACGTATTTATTTATTTACCTGAACTAAAATATTAATATTAGAAACTTTGGAATTATAAAAAAATTGGTATTTTGAACATGTTTTAAACAAACAAATTCTATTTAATTCAAAACGATATTAAATTAAATGAGAATACATTAAATATATAATTAATTTTATGTATGTATGTCCTGTTAATGTTATATTTAATATAAATATAAACTATGCAAAATATTATATGAGAACATTTATAATAAAGTGTTTCAGTAACTGCTGCACTGCAAAAATGTTTTTTTTTAATTGTGTGTATATATGCCGCTATATCTTCCTAGATGAAGTTAGAACCTCTATTATTCAACTACAATGAATTAGGCAATGAAGTCGTTCCATCTCAGTGCCTATGTAGCTAATATGCTAGTATTGCTAATAGGTCTCTTCTGGCCGCAGTACCGGCTGTTGGACAATTTTCACGTCTACTCTTTTAATAATAATAATAATAATTGCTAATATGGCCTTCTGCGAACTCAGCCTCTTCAACACAATTTGCGTTTCTGTATTTATTCTGTAGCTCTAATTTGGTCCATACAAATACACATATCGCTTTTAGGTATTCCCCGAGGCCATAAGATGCACAAAATTTAGTTTTCATAAGAAACTACATTGTTGACAGGAGCGCAGTGGTAATCTATTAAGTGTCACAAATATAGAACTGCTCAAATGTTTCTATTGAATACGCAAAGTAGTGGATATATGGCTGCAGTTTCATATCTTAAATAAAAGCATCTTTAGCTTTATTGATTATAGTAACAACATATTTTCAAGTAGTATTTGATTAAACAAGTCATACTTTTTCAATGCCATATCGAATATGGATATGAAGACTTAACCTCATATCCACAACTTATAATCTTGCTCTTGACCTTACTCTGGAGTCTGATGAAACTACAAGAAAATAATCAATATAAGATTACAAAGTAGATAGAAGACTTAATTTTTGACAGGACTACTATGGCACTCTTCCATGTTTAATTTCCATAAAATATAACAATCATTATGTTTGTATTAAATAAGCGAAATTTAGTAGTAGTGGATATACCGTTGCAGCTCTATCTCTTTTTAGATATAGAGCTTTAGAAAACTTAGAAAATTGTTTTTACTTTATCTATTTAACATAGAGTTATTTTCTATTCCATACAATCTTAGCTTTTAAATATGTACATACATAAGCAATCTTTGATTTAAATGAAAATTTATTCAGAACTACTTTTACAAAATACTGAACAGAAAATATTTATAAATGTACATATCAAAATTCTAAAATGTCCGAAGACACAGCGCCAGATGGGGGTGAAACATTAGAAGTTCTACAAATTACTGTTAAAATATCCGAACACGAACAAACAGCGCCGGATGGGGGTGAACCATTAGAACACGAACACGCAGCGCCGGATGGAGGTGTAACATTAGAACTTCTACAAAATATTGCACACCGTTTGCGTATACATGCAATTACAGCAACAGAGAGCTCAAAATCCGGTCACCCAACATCATGCTCTTCAATCGCAGAAATCTTATCAATATTATTTTTCAAAATATTGCGCCTGAATATGAATGAACCTAGAGATCCTGCTAGCGATCGATTGGTGCTATCAAAAGGGCATGCAGCTCCCATCTTATATAGTGCTTGGGCTGAAGCAGGTCTATTTCCAGTAGAGGATCTAAAGAAGTTACGAAAAATTGATAGCGATTTAGAAGGTCATCCAACACCACGTTTAAATTTTATTGATGTCGGCACTGGTTCTCTGGGACAAGGTGTTGCTATTGGTGCTGGCATGGCGTATGTTGGAAAAAATTTCGATAAATCTAATTACAGAATATATGTTATTGTTGGAGATGGAGAATCTGCTGAAGGATCTATATGGGAGTCACTACATTTCGCAGCGCATTATAAACTTGATAATCTGTGTGTTATATTTGATGTAAATCGTTTGGGTCAAAGTGATCCTACTTCTCTGCAGCACGAAATGAACATTTATGAGGATCGTTTAAAAGCATTTGGATTTAATGCGAAAGTTGTTGACGGTCATAATTTAAAAGAATTAAATGAGGCATTTAATGAAGCATCTAATACAAACGACAAGCCAACAGCAATTATAGCAAAAACTTTTAAAGGCAAGTATTTTATGGAAATTGAAGATGCAGAAAACTGGCATGGTAAACCACTCGGCAGTAAGGCTGAAGAAATTATACAGCATCTTCAAAGTTTGATAACCGATAAAGACTTTAAGGCGCCTAAACCACTTTCAAATGAAACGATTACGCCTGTGCCGAATGTAGACCTCGAAAAAGTTCAACTATGCCCACCTCCAGAATACGAAATGGGACAAGAGATTGCAACACGTTTAGCGTATGGCACAGCATTGGCTAAACTTGCGAAAAATAATCCGTCTGTAATTGCGCTTGATGGTGATACAAAAAATTCCACTTTCTCTGAAAAATTAAAACAAGAGTTTCCTGAACGTTTCATCGAGTGCTACATAGCAGAACAGAATTTAGTCGGTGTAACAATAGGTGCAACTTGTCGCAATCGTACCATCGCATTTGGTTCTTCATTTGCTGCATTTCTAACACGTGCTTTTGACCAATTTCGCATGGGTGCCATTTCCCAAACAAACGCCAATTTCAGTGGTTCGCACTGTGGAATTAGCATTGGTGAAGATGGACCATCACAAATGGGACTAGAAGATATTGCAATGTTTAGGACAATACCAGGCAGTACAATATTTTATCCAAGTGATGCTGTTAGCTGCGAACGCGCCGTAGAACTAGCTGCCAAGACAAAGGGTATGTGCTTTATACGCACAAGCCGTCCAAATACACCGGTTATTTATAAAAAAAACGAAACGTTTGAAATTGGTAAAGGCAAAATTGTTAGAAATTGTAAAGATGATTTAGCGCTATTGATCGGAGCTGGGGTTACTTTACATGAGTGCCTAAAAGCAGCTGAAAATTTAAGAAATGAAAATATTTCAGTTCGAGTGCTAGATCCATTTACTGTAAAACCCTTGGATGCTTGTCTCATCCAGACAAATGCACGCGAATGTTATGGCAATATTATTGTTGTAGAGGATCATTACCAGCAAGGAGGATTGGGCGAAGCTGTACTTAGTGCATTAGCAAAAGAAACAGATCTCTCGGTGATGCACTTATACGTCACCGGCGTGCCACGCTCCGGCCCATCTGCAGAACTCTTAGATATGTTTGGAATATCAGCGCAACATATACAATGTGCAGTTAAAGAAATAGTTAATTGTCCGTGTGCGGAATAACCATTCCCTTACACTAACTTCATCTAAAATTCACATCATTTATAATAAACTATATATTTCCGATTAAAAAAACCACTACACCAACAAACGTTTGTTTCTATATAAAAATGACAAAACTGATTAGGAAGAGTTGGTTTCAAATAATAACTAACTTTTTGTGTTATTTATAATAATTTTCAAAACTGCATTATATATAAAAAATTTATATTAATTACATTATTTATCACATACATATGTTTTTGTTCATTTTAGTTCATTTTAGAAACAGCTTTAAAGCGAACTATGCTAATGAATGGATTTAGTACTTATTGGGGTTGTGAAAAAATTTATTAAAATCTTTAGGTTTTTATACATTTTGCAGGAAAAATTAACAAAAAACTTTAATAGAAAATTTTTTACAATGTCCAAATAAATTAGAATTTTTTTTTTATATAAATTTTTTGGCTAACTTTCATACAAGGTGGATATAAGTACTGGGCTTATATAAGGTACTATATAACAAATGTTTTTATAATCAATAAAAGAATTTTCCAAGCTGCTTTGATATATTTATCTTATAGAACGTTTTTCATATCATTCTGTAATAAAAACGTTTTTATTTTCAACCGTTTTGTTTGTAAGTTTCAAATATGTTTTAGTGGTCGTTTAGTTTTTTTACATAAACAAAAAATACACATTCCTTTTGACTATAAAAAAGTTTGAATAAAAATGTTCTTATTATAAATTACTTAAGTAATACGTGAATATTATTATAAGTTGTAAATTTTTTATGTAAAAAATTTACTTTTTATATTATTTAATTAATTAAATTTTTGGCTGACCATACAGCAGTTTCGAGTATTGCCAAATACCCATCATCAGTGGTCTTGGAAATAATTCTTGTATTTGTATTATTCGTAAATAATTATTTTTGAGACTGCAAGTACCAGAAATCGAACTCGGGTCCTCCCAAATGTGAAGCTCAGAATCAGCGCAGCTTAACCAACTGATCCAAAGCCGTATTTGACTTTGACTTCGCATATTTTTCTGGAGTTTTGTTACTTTTTACTATGAAAGTTTTTTTTTTAACAATTTTACTTGCTGTGTTTATATTAGAACGAAATCATAAACCAGTTTTTTTTAACAATTTTACTTGCTGTGTTTATATTAGAACGAAATCATAAACCAGCTGTAGAATAATTGAATTAATTATATTTTTTTTTATTTTTAATTGTTAAATTTCAATACTTTTCTGTTCGTAGAGGCATTATTTGTTGCATGATTTGTTCTTTCTTATGTATAGAACCTAATCTAGGAACGTAATGCTCAGAAAGTCATGCTAATATTACTCCACTAGTCGCACGGGCGAGACCAATATATTGTGAATATAAGTTGTAATTTAACGTCAAATTTTCCAGACGAAAGTGACTATTATATTTTAATAGAAACTTATTATATTTCATAAAGAGGTTTTTCGAACAGTAGTAAACTACAACAACAGAAATTTATTTTTTATTTTAATTAATTGAATTATGTAAAAAAATTTAAACTATGCGTAAAAACTGTTTAAAATAATTTTTAAGAGTTGTGAAAATATGCCAAGAACATCATAAATTCTAATTAAATTTATATATTATATCGTCGCGTTTTTGAGTTTGCCAGTATTTTAATATATTATATACAATTGTAAGGATACACATGCTTTAAAATTATTTTATTGATTTGTGTAAATATAAAAATAAAATATATATAAAATAAACATTTAATAGATTTAATAGAAAAATTTTACCATCATGTTATTATGTTTTCATGTTTTAGTACACTTTGCGAAATGCAACCATGCATAGCTGATTTAATGTATAGTTGCATGTGGTAACGCTGTATATGATACACAAATTTCAGACAAATGAATGAGTTTTTCAGTTCATCTCTAGCGTTGAATCGACATAGACGTTGATTTCTTTGTCAAAGTGTATAGCATTATTTAGTATTAAAGTGCGCCATCTTGGATTTAAAGAAATATAAAAGAAAGTTTTTGTAAGAAAAAATTTGTTCAACCATAAGTTTAAATAAATAATAATAATTTTACATTCAGGTAAGTGCTCTTTCTTCACTTTGGTGTGTATTATATCTATTTCTGTATATATATATATATATATATCTATAGTGTATTGTAGATTTGTTCATTTCAGTTAAAATCTTAGAATATTTTTCGCTTATGTAAATAAATTATAGCGGTCGCTTGTACATATGGAATTTTATGTGTAAATATAAATATATTTATAAATTTATGTGTTTATTTCTACATATTATTTAATGAAGTAACATATTTTACACGTTATTTGAATATTGTACAGTTGGTGACAAAATTTCGTACTTGTGTATTCTGACGCATAACAAAAATTTTTATTTTTACAAAATGTTTTATATAGTATATTCGTTTATCACGAAAATGAATATTTTAAAGTACCCGGCCGGTAAAAAATTTATTTTATGTGACTAATCTGTCTGGTGCTCCCCTACCTAACACGCTTGCATCTACCGCCATTTTGTTTCGGTATACCAATTTATCGGCTTTCTTTTAATACCGTTTAATTTGTTCATGGACTTGTGTGTGCTTTAGAAAACCGGCTTAACTTATATAAAAGCCATCAAAAAGAACAGAAAATAATTTGTTTCAACAATATCATTAAATTTTTTTGTTTTGTCATTATATAGAAAACCTGTCGTTCTCATTTCGATCAAATCAACGACCTTAATCATATAAATTTTACGCGCATGTAAATACATACATACACAAAATAAAGTAAAAGCAAATATTTTCAAAAAAAAAAAAAAGTGGTAGTACTTGTCAAATTGGTGTGGTGTTTTTTTTTGTTTTTGCACTAGTGTTAAACATGTGAAAAGTATTTATTTTGATTTGTTTTATTTTCGAATTCAGAAGAATTAGAAGAATTAAAATGTGATTTATATTTTGATGAATTTAAGGTTATTATGGGTGGTTGTTGGCTTTAAATTTTACATTCGTTCTTCTCAAAAGATTTTAAATATTGCTCTCTTTCTAACTTAGGCTTTTTATGTTGGATGCATTTTCTTATTCATTCATTCATTTTAGCATGCGTAGTATGCATATCTGTATGTATGCATGTATATGGTAGTATATTTTGGTATAAATTTGAAGTAGTAGTTGTGGTTTATTTTCTTTATAATTAATTGAAAAAAATTTTATGTTTGCGTTATGCTTTTTGCCGTTTTATTTTCAGATTGTTTAAGAATTGCTTTCTAATTCTACCACAAGCACAAGCAACTTAAAGTCCCAATATATTTAATTGAAATTCATCTAAGTTAGACTTTTGGCTTTTTAAATATAAAAAAAAATATTGGCTATGTCTCCAAGGTATGAAAACAAATGTTAAAACTTCAACAAAAAAAAAACAAAAAAAAAACTAATTAATAGTTAAGAAGCCAAACTTTTCTTAGTAGTCGATCTGATTAATGTTAACTTCAATTATTATTTATTTAATATTATATTTTAAAATTTTAAGAATGTGATTAAAGTTCTTTCAAATATTCATTTTAATTTATTCCAGTGTTTTGTAAGCCTAAGTATTATACTGCACTTAAGTATAACTTATAAATTAAGCTATTAAGTAATGTGTTATATATAATTTGTGTAGCTTTTTTCTGTTAAACGTGTTTGTCCACAAAAAGAATCACATCTCAATTTAAGTATTTTTTGTATTCATGTGTATATACATTACATAGATATTTAAAAATTTAAATTTTTATTTAAAATTTTTTTACAGCGTAAAACAAGTACCAAACAACAATATGGCATTCCGTGGTAACCAAAACCGTAATCGCAGTTTCGGTGGCAACAATTTCAGTGGCCCAATTGCTAATCGTATGACTAACATGAATATGTCGCCTTGGGATAATCAAAATGCCGGTGGCAATTTTGGTGGGAACATGCGCCAAGGCGGTGGTGGCGGCCAAGGGATGAATGCCCAAGCTATTAACTTGGCAAACAATTTATTAAGTAATTTATTCCGTAATCAAAATCCACCATCCTTGTTGGACTTACCACGTGGTGGTGGTGGCATGGGCAATAGAAATCAACGCGGTGGACCGGTATGTATTATTTTACTCTCAATTCAAAACGTTAAAAAAAATGTTTTGTTTTCTTTTTTTTTTTTTTATATATATATTTGGTACTATATATTTTTAATATATATATATTTATATATTTCGATTTTTATGTTTAAGGGAGGTTTTTTAAATTTGATATGGTGGATATCATTAACTGTATGACTTTGGTTAAGAAAAAAAATTAGTTTCACTTTTCTTTTTACAAATAAAATGGCTATGATAGGTTAAGTCGAAGTGGCAGATCTCTACACAAAACCCACTTGAACCGAAATATTGGCTTGTTGTGTTACTAGGAATTGGGAAGGTGAAACATGGATTCTTCGTCCTCTTCAGAGCCACAACCAACCCAAATAAAATTATAGGGTGGACTCCTCGGTCTCTTAGCATGTCGTACTAGTACGCAGTGATTGTGATTGCAAGTTTCGTTTTAGTTTAATCAGCTGATTTCCAGTTTGGACCCGGTCAATCCTGAGATCTGACAGGAGTTTTTATCTCTTTTTTTTTGTTTTTGCATTAGCTATACTATACTAAGCTGTACTATACCTAGCTGTACTCTATCCCTACCTTTTCTATACTTAGCTACATTTTTATTCACCCATGTTACTTTTTTATCAAAATATAATTGATAAGATTGTTTATAAAGCTGATTATGTATATTGCCTGCAATGTAATGTACTCACACATTACAAGTGTAGTGGATTTTAGTGAAAATTAATTTCATAATAATTTTCATATGATTAATAATGACTCAAATAAGAATTGAAACACAATAAACTGTGTAATGAATAGATTGTGAAATTAGTTTGGCATTTATATATAAATGATATATTTATATATATGATTTGTTGTTTCTGCTCTCATTTAATGCAAAAAAAAAATTAATATGAAAAGAAAGAACAAATAACAGTTTACTATAATGCAGTCCCCAATAACAATAACAACTAAACACTCATTGCTGAAAAGAATAAAAGAAATAATTTTTTTATAGTAAAATAAAAAATTATCTTCATTTCCCTGTTTTCACCTAGTATCTAATTATTACCCACGATACTTCCTTCATTCCATCCCTAGTCTAGAAGTAATTAAGCACTAATAATTAACTCTTCTTTTCAATCGTAACATCATCTTATCATATTCTGAATCATGTATTCGTTTTGTAATTTCTTTCATATTTCCTGTTATATAGATCTTTACGGGTTATAACAACAACATAAGATTTCTTCTCAATCGATGTTTATGCTTAATCTATATTAATTCATTTGATTAATTCATTTTTGAATTGACATTAAAGGGTAAATTTCATATTCATATCAGTTTTTATTTGCAATAAATTTTAATGAACTGTGTATATACCATATATTAGCTTTTATAATTCATTATTAAAATACTATTTTGAATATACATGATTTTATACAATATAATCTAATTAAACAAAATGTGTTCTCATTTCACAGTATTTTTATGCTTTTTTTTTAAATTAAATAAAAAAAAGACCATAGGATCTCAGAGAATGTGTTAAGTTAATTTAACTCTGCTTGAGGGTGCTATCACAAAGGACCGTTGTGTCCATACATATATTTAGACTCCTTTTTTTAAATACAGTTCTTTGCAAAACATTGAATATTTTTTCAGTTCGTAGTATGTTTTGAATTGAGAAGTACTTTCTTTATATCGATTTGAGTTCTTATGAAATTCATTTTTAATATATGAATTTTTTAAATTTAAATAACTCTCACGTGGAATTGGTGTTAGACCGTATAATTTTTAAGTCTTACTTTCGTTCTGGACAAACTATATGCATTTGTTCATGGAAACTTTGATGATTATATTATTTTGCTTTGTATCTAGAAATGTTTTTCAACTTAATTTTTTTTTTTTATGGTTGAAATCTTTCATGATGTTATTATTATTGTACTTCAGGTAGTTCCAACCACCGTTCTTTTGGAAAGTCTGCTTATCTCCTACATTGGGATAATTAACGTTATTACTAGTCGATAGTTAATAATTCAAGAAATGACCAACAATTGATATTTGTTGTTGTTATAGTTTTAGTTAGTTAGTCACCCAACTTTGAAAAAGTCTGCTTAGTTAATTTTCTTGCCAACCTTTAGATCTTCGATGAGGTTCAGGTTAATTGGTAATGTCGTAGATTGTATTTGTTTCACCACCCTCGAGGGAAACTAACTTGATTTCTTTTTCTTTGGAACAATAAACGTTAAAAGGAGGAATACTAGTCTTATAAAATAAAATCAAGAATGTTCAATATAGAAGAAACGCTTGGGAATTTCCTTTTTAACCAAAGTCTACAGTAAAATGTGTCCACCAGATGTGGCGGCATTTATATTATTGGCTATATTATTTAAGGTTATTAATTTTAATTTTATGTATGACAAAACAGTATTTACGCGTCTAAGTTAGACTTTGGTGTGAAATACATTTAAAGTTTTATGAGTTGTTTGTATTAAAAAAAAAAAAATATTTTTGAAAAAATTATCTTTTTATTGTGTATAAATTTTGTTAAAGGATTGTGCATAGGAGTCAACTAGTTTTTATTTCTAACAAAAAAAAGCATTTTTCCATTTTAAAATGCTAAACTAAACTGAACTAAAATTCATGCACAATTTTTATAAAACAAAATTAATCATTTTTATTTTTCAATATACAAAATATAAAAGTTAGTATCTTTAATATAAAATATATTGTACTTAAGTACCTTTTAGTAGCAGTCTTATGTTTGTACTAATTTTTTAAAGAAATTTTTTGTAAACACATACAATTTTTATAAAATTAAATTCTATATAATATAGACTTTCTTACTTTTAAGACTTTTAAAGAAACGCTACCTATATATAATAATAATCCTTTTTTTTGGAATAATTCCAAGTTTCTAATTTGAAATGTTTATTTTTTATTCTCTTCTCCATATATATATAAAAACAAATTTTGATTTGATTGAATGAAATCTACGACTTGTTTGATCTTCAACACAAAACATTAATGTTGTTGTTACACGTTGTTGTTGCTGTTCTGAAACGTACTATGGTTTTGAAAAATGAAAATTTTAATTCATTAAAATTTTATAATAAATAAAAACTTCATTCGAAACCAAATTCAATTGTGCGTTCAAAAAACACCATAAAAACACAAAAAACACAACAACTTTTCAAATCAAACAAATGTGCAAAATGTGATTGATGTCTACTTCTATGCGAATAAAAACAACAAAATGCTACCTACCGCTTAATCCGTTACGATCACGATCTGATCCGATCCGTTCTGAACCGATCCTTCGTCAATAAAACAAACTACATTTTGGTGAACTTCAACGCATTTTTAAACATACCACCACCACAAAATCTTGTATATTGATTGGTGTCAATATTTTCCTGAATTGAATCGAAACGAATCCTGTGTATTAAAATATAATTCATATCTGAAAAATCTGGGTCTCTCAACCGAATAAAAATAATCAACAAAAAATCTAAACACACATGATATGAACAAATAAACGAAACATTTCATTGTTTCAATTTGTTTAATATGAATTTCAAAAATAATGCCACATTGCGCCACGACGACACAACGCTTTCCATATATATGTATATTTATAAAAAAATATAAATTAAATATCGATTGCCACATCAATTTCTAAAACCATTTATCATCTACGAAATGACCAATCTTATAACAAACAAAAAAAAAAATTAACTAATTTTAACTAAATTGAACTAAAACTTTGATTAAATTGAACTAAAATTTTGACTAAATTGAACTAAATTTGACTAAATATGTACTTTCTTTAAAATGTGTTCAAATTTGAATATTGTTTTTTTGTATTCTTGCTTATGCAAAATATGTTATATATATATAAAAAATGTATGTAAAAAAAAACAATGAAATGTGCCTTAAACAAATTATTTTAAACAAACTGAATTACTGAATGATACAAAATGTGATATTCAACATAAATGTTTGTGTTACTTTTGCAATATATAACAAAACCAATGTGCTACTTATTTAATATATATGAATTTTTTATAATTCATAATGAATGATGAATTACGACATTCGAAAATTGCAATTTTTATAATTGTCGTCTTTATAATGATGTTTTTATATGTTAATTGTATACAACAAAATAAAACAATGTATAAATTATTAAAAAACAAAAGATGGTCAATCGTGGTGGTGCTGGCAATCGTCTTAATAATCGTCGTTCTCAAGGAGGTTTCCAAAATCGTGGCTCTTCTGGTGCCAAATCAGGCCAAAAACAAGGCGCTGGTGGCGGCATTCGTAAACAGAATGCATTTGATCGTGCCAAAAAACTTTTGGCTAAAAATAGCAATAATAAAAAGAAGGATTCCGCTTCTGGCGATAAGAAAAATGAGAGGTAAGAGAAAGATTTTAAACCAAAAAATTTCTACAAATTTAATTAAAAAAATATCACAAATAATATATATTTTTCAATATTTGATCTTTGATTTTTCTTCATAAAAATTTTCAAAATAATTAAATATTTTTTAAGAAGGTTTAATATCAACATAAATAAATAAACAAGAAAAAATATTTATATATGTATACGTACATATATATGATATGTAAAGGGTTCTAAAGATGTCTACTTCTTGTTGGGAAATGACATTGGGATTTAAATAGTGTATGTTGATGGTTGGGTTAGATAAAGAAGATATTAAGATAAACTGTCTCGTATATAGTTTATTAATTAATGTAATGTGTGAACATTGTATAATTGTTGACGTATTATCATATCATATATTTCATTGTCTTACTTATAATCATTAACATTTTTATATGAACTTATGTATATATTTATACATATATTCATATACAATCAATCGATTATTAAGACAATGAAATATTAATATATAAATAAAATATATTAAGTTTTTTTTTTTTTTTGATTTTTTTAGTTTACTACATACTATTTAAGTTTTTTGCGAGATTAATTTAAAACTTACATATTATATATTAACTTCATTTTATTTTTACTATATTTTAGTGTGTGAGATTGTATCGAAAAAAATTTATCATATATGATAATAATATAATATATAGGTTTTAGCAATTATCTTGGAATTGTTTATTGTAGTAGCTGCCTCATATAAAATAAATCTATATAAATTGCGGCCCTATGCCCTCCACTAGGGAAAACAAATACAAGCTTTTCATTTAACGCTGTGATAAAAAAAGAAGGTGGAATTGATGTATTATTTTTAAAATTTTTATATATTCTTCTAACCTACATCACCTTAAACGTGGAAAACAATTGTTAAAGTCGATTTCGGATTGGCATTCAAAACGCACTGCTATTTGGTTTTTTTTACCTTTAATCGTTTCGGATCGATTAATCATCGGTATCCCTAAAGTAATTTCTTGAGATGAGAGAATAGTTTTAAATCGCATGATAAAAATCAGGCGAATATATGATGATCGTGGAACGATATGAATTAAATTTTTGTCGAAATGATCTTCAATAACCAATGCAGTATGGTATTTTATAGTGGTCCAAAAACTATTCTGGTCTCTTTTTATGACTAAATTTGATGTAAACGTTTCGTATGGCGGCAGGAATTCATAATGCCAGAATCCACTGTATTCGAAGATAACTGTTAGCATGTTATTGATTTTTGGACTATTTTTACTTGTACTTTTAAGTTTTGGCTCGCCTTTGCACAGTATTTGATTTATTTCGGATCATATGTATAAATCCAGATTTTATTTTCCAGCTATCATGCATTTAATCTTATCCTGATTTAACTTATTGTGATTCCAAAGTTAAGCGTAATTATTGAAAACAACGCAAATAATAGAACTTCCAAGTTAAAAAGGAAGAGTTGACAGAATTCAATACAAAATTTCACATAATTTTTTGATCAAAGTAATATGTAAAGTAGGAATGAATATATGTTGGTTATAAGCCCATTTATTTCTAGTAAAACCAGTTAAAACTTAACTTATATAGTTTTATAGTAGACACATTGCTTAAGATTGAATGAAAGTTCCATTCCTAAAATAGACACCAAGCATTTTTTTTATTAAAGTTTTTTTAAAGCATACTTTTATATAACCACAATATCCTATTACTAATAATTTAAACAGTGATATTAACTAAATCCAATTATATCAAGTTATAAAATCCAATTAAAAAAAAATCGTATTGTAATATTTTAACTAAACTTCAGTTAATATTAATTTTAAAAACTATCACTTTAGAAAACTTGTTTCTAAAAAATTTAAATTAAAAAATTTAATTAAAGAATCAGCTAGATAGATTACTGATCAGCCGCACCAAAACAAAGCGGCGGGAAAGGATTTTTATTTATCATATAAGATTATTATTCAGGGTTGTCCAATTTAACTGAAAATGGTTATTTCTTTTTTAAATCGGTTTGCATTGTACACCAGCAGGGGAAAGAATTATAAAAACAATTAAATTTTTCATATATTTTGCGATTTTTGGGTCCTTACCGCAAACAAGACGCATGCGGTACTCATGTCAATACACCACAATCTTCAACTATTAACAAAAACGTGTTTTCTTGAGAAAATCAACAGAGCACTCATTTTAAGTGCTAACTGTGGCTTGAATTTGGTAATAATGAAGTCCATTTTGTCTTTAAAGCTTAGAATATTTCTTATGCATTATTGATTGAGAGGTGCTTTGTTTTATGGTGCAGAATCTTGTTGAAACGTTCACGCACTCAGCAAAAATTAGCATGTCTTCCTTTTACGGCTTCTGTATTCTTCTAACATTTTCATTCTCATTTTCACTAAGTACATCGACGACTGAAAATAGGAACCAACTGTGATCATTAACTCTCAGGACTACGACTACCCCGAACTTTAATACTCGATTACGAACTATTTAACTGAGGAAGTTTTTCTATTAATTAATTAATTCTATTATTAAGTAATTTGCTTAGTCGTAATCGTGCAACAGCTGATCATTCCGTCCTTTAAACATAGTTTTTTTTTTTTAATAACAGTAAATTATATTGTCCTTTTTTAAAGGGGTCAGATATAACTTAAGAGCTAATTGTTTTGCTCTCGTTGCATGGTTGATTTCCGAAATGTTTAACTGAAAAGTTATTTAGCTTCCACTACATAACGGATTTCATAGAATATAAGCCATTTGAACTAAACCTGTCCCTGATATAATTTTTTTTTTAAAATGCTACACTTCTAAACTGATAGTTTTATTTATGTTTGAGACGTTCGACACCCTTTTTCAATCATATGTGCAGTTTAAACTAGATTAGAGTTGAATTGGACAACCCTGTATTGTAATATTTATATAATATATATAACACAAATGCCCTATAATATACTACTTTGAAACTTAGCATATAGCTTTTAATAATATTATTACCCTACCCTTATCGTTTGTATAGATGGACGCTATAGAAAAAATAAAAGTATTTTCAATTTAAAATTATACCTCGCGTTTACATAGATAAATAATTAATTTTTATGACGTCATATGAATTTTTTTCGATAAGCTTACACACTAAATCGTCTGTAAAAGCGTTAAAATTATTAAAATTATTTAAAAAGAAAAATTTGTTACTAAGTAGATTTAATAAAGCGAATATAACCGGCAGACGTTATCTGTACAGAGTTATATATATTTATACAATTTTAATTCATTAAATGTCTGTAATTATAAAATTCCCTTGCTATTAAATTTTTTAATGTAGATGTTAAATAGTTTTAACGCTTTTAATAAGACTAATAACCTCAAGATAACCTTTGATATTCTGTGATCATTCCTATCCTTTAATGTTAAAGCTTTTATATTATTATAAGAAGAAAAATCTTTTTTACAAATTTATTAATGTAATTATTTTTTTTTCAATATTTCTATTTTTTGTAAACACAAATGATTTACAACAAATAGCAAGGAATCTCCCTACGCCAGTGTACCAAATGATATGTTTTACTGTCATCTATGCAAGAAGCACATGTGGGATGCCAATTCATTTGAGAATCATATTAAAGGACGTACTCATTTGATGATGCGTGAGGGTATTGAGGAAAGTTATCGTCTAAAGGCAAACATGATTCGTCAAGAAGCTAAAATTGCTGAGCAACTCAAGTCTATTGAATTAGACCGTTTGAAGAGAATGGGCAAGAGCAAGCAACGTCAATTGGAATACTGTACTATGTGTGATTTGAATTTCCATGGTCATATTTCAGCCCATCGCAAATCTGAGGGTCATTTGCAATTAAAGAAATTCTTGCATCCAAAGTGTGTTGAATGTAACAAGGAATTTGCTACACGTATCGATTATGACTCACATTTATTGTCTGCCGATCACTTGAAGAAAGCCGCTGAAAAGAATACCAAAGTAGGTGAACGCAAACGCAACACTCTTACTATTCATACTGAAGAAGAGGAATTGAAAGATGTCCGTCCACCACAAAAGAAGAAGAAGAAGGTACCAGTTACTAAAACTGAGGGCGCTGATGGTGTTGAGATTAAAAAAGAAGTTGAAGAAGGGGCTGAAGGTGAAGAGGCTGAAGGCGAAGATGCTGAGAAGAAAGAGGGTGAAGAAGGCGGTGATGAAACTAAAGAAGGTGAAGAAATGAATGAAACTCAGGAAGAAGAAGAAGTCGTATTACCAGTCGATCCTGAAGATTGTATTGTTGATTTTCTTGATGGTGATGAAATTCCATCAGAAGTTGATACACGTTTACCAAAATACAATTGGACTCGCGCAGTTGGAGCTGGTCTAATTTCCAAGCTTGAATGTTTTGAATGCGCTTTGTGCTGTAAATTCTTCGATACCGAAAAAACAGTTGAAGTTCATTCCCGTACAGTTACACATCATCGCAATTTCTTGAAATTCATTAATGAGAAAGCAAGTGACACCAAAATTGCTCAAAAACGTGCTGCTGCAGCTTTGGAAGAAAGTGAACGTAAGAAGCGTAAGTTGGAAGAAGCTGAAGCTGCTGCTGCTGGTGAAGGTGAAGGCGAAAATGGTGAAGAAGCTGCTGCAGAAGGCGAAGGTGAAGGTGAATTATATGATCCATCCGAAGCTACTGGCGATGATGAGGATGTTGAAATGGGAGATAATGGTGAAGAAGCCGCAGAGGGTGAAGAAGAAGGCGGTGAAGAGTATGCTGATGGTGGTGAAGACGAAAATGGTGATGCAATGGACGCTCAAGAAGAAGAGCAACCTGAACCAGAACCCGAACCAGAGCCAGTCAAAGTTAAGGTTGAAGTAAAACAAGAACCCGTTAAGACTCCAGTAAAACCTGTTGTTGCTGCTACACCAACACCAACTCCACCAGCCGAATCACCAGTAAAGAAAACCACACCTGCACGTGCAACACCAGCTGCTAAAGCGACGCCCCGCGGACGTCAACGTGGACGTTACAACCGTTATTAAATAACTTAAAAATAATTTTCAAAATAAATTATAAATAAATAAAATTAATAATAATTTAATAAATAAAATAAATTACAATTGCAACATGACGCGAGTATCTATATTCAGCAAAAATTAAAGAAATTTATTTTATTGTATTATCTACACATATATATATCATACATTATAACAAAATTGATCTACAAAAATATATATGTAATCTTAAGTTCTAACTTAATTATATTCCGCATCATTGCTACTATATTAAATAGTGTAATGAGTGAATTAGACCCAAACTTCCAAAAAATTATATTTCAATTATTTTGAAGTTATTAAACAATGAATTATAAATAAATTACACAAATTCCATATGACATAATTTCTATTATTCCAACATCCCAGTGTGAACTGAACAAAAACATAATTGTATTACATTATATACAGTAGTAAATAATGGGCATGTAATGGAAATAAGAATAATAAATTAAACAGTTCTAATACACATAAAATGTTTTTTTTTCTTACTATAAAACTATTGGTATTTTTTAAAAATTTAATTTTAACTTTGATGATTTACATATGAAAGGTATGATGTTCTTCGCTATATATCATTTGGTATCGGATACTAAAACAAATTTATGTTTGTAAAATTCTATACCTGGTAATACTATTTGAGGATATATTTAATTTAGTTTAACTAAAATTACGGAACGATTCACTTAGAGTTAAGGACCACAAGATGAGAGTGCTTCTAGTTTCGTATAAAATTGAAATAAATTTTAAACATATTTAAATCGTATTGACCATGTTGGGAGTGGTGAACGGTACTTGGTCAAATGGGTAAGAAATATATACTCAATTGGTTCTGCACCCTTATTTAAGAGTTTAATGAAGTGTAAATTAGCTTTTAAATATTAATTAATTGTTTTTTTCTACAATCAAGTACTATTATTATTATTATACATAGGCCGCACTGTTACCTGAAAGATCTTTTGTGCAGTCTTCTTTCCCCTCACTAGTCTAATTCCAAATTTTTGAAGAATTTTGTGACAACTACGAGTCGTATTTTAACTAGGTGTTTAGGGCTCAGAATGCCACTGCCTAGATAGTTAAGTCTACGTCTTGCTATGGCTGGACAGGCCATACTATAGCATGGTGTTGAATAATGCATCGTAAATATAAAACATCAGTAACCATCATTAAGTAACTATTTTGATTGAATTGTAGTTTTTCTTAACTTTGTTGTAGGGCTAGCATGGTATCTCTTTATTTGAATGCGGGAGTCATTCCTTATTAAAACAACCGCCGTTCGTACAATAGATGTTTGAGACTTTTATCAATAAAAAAAGGTTATCAGGTGTGGCGTTGTGACAGGTACCACAACGGTGTATTATTTTTGCTTCTATCGGCTTTGAGACACAAGGTTGTTACTCAAATCTAATCTACCAGCTCGTTAATTCTACTGTTTCTGTAACCATACATATTTAATTAATTCTACACCTAACTGGCTAGAAAGTAAAGTACGATATGTTAGAAAAGGTAGGTTATACGATCACTCCTATTAAAAAGTTTGCTCGAATATTTTAAAATTCCACTGGAACATTTTTTGCAGAAGGCCTTTTAAAAATTAGAATATAAAAAAAGGACTTGACATCCTTCAGGAGAGAAACATTGATAGTAAAGAAAGTAAAATACGATTTGTTAGAAAAGGTAGGCTATACGGATTCCTCGTGTTAACAACAAGTTTGCGCCACTCGAAACATTTTTTGCAACTTCGTGCGTTCGTGTCAAGGCCTTTTAAAAATTAGAACCAAAAAAAGAGTTACAGGGGAGAAATATAGCATTATAAAATGAAATACAACAAAGCAATATGAGTTTCTTTCAACTATGAATTAAAACGTATTAGACAACCGAGTAAATTCATGACGGTAATATTGGAAGGGTGGTGTGAGGTCAAGAATAATTGAAACAAGATTACGCAAGTCTATTATTTAGCTTCCTCAAAATTATTCCTTTCTAATAGAGTAAGGGAAATCATCAACACTCCAATTTTAGTAAATGCTATTCCTGGCACAGAGTGGCATATTAAGACCACAGATAAGGCTCTAAACGTGATAAAATATTTTTAAAAGGTTTTTACTAAACGTTCCAAATTATAAAAAAAATTATAAAAATTATAAAAAGTGTTTATATTAGTACTGTAATCGTAATATATATTTAATAATTAGTTGAGATGTTTCGATATTAAATAATTATATTATTAATAATTTATATTGATTTTAATTATTAATTTTTATTATATATTAATCATTTTGTTATTTAGACGGAGAAGTTTATATCTTTTATTTATTAATTTTTTTTAGAAACTTATTAACCTCTTGTATATTTAAAAATTTTTTTATTTTTAATTAAATAAAAAATTATTTTTAAAATTTTATATTTATATAAAATAAATTAAAAATAAATTGTTAATAAAAAGTTATTAAGATATGTATAATTGTCCAGAGAATGGATATTGACGTCAATTGTGAAAAATTTTAAGAATTGCCGACAAGATATGTAGTCTTGTTTCAATTAATCTTGAGGTTAGATCATCGCAACACATGATTATTTTATGAGTGAGCTACTGAAGCCACTTCTGTGAATGTAATAATATTCTTATAATCAGAACCCTTGATCATTTTATTTGGTCATAAAATATTTTTATTGTACTCGAGTCTATGTTCCGTGCAGTTGAACTTCATTCAGTAATGAGATTTGTCACTCAAATTCTCAAAAACTATGTATTTATACTTTTTAAGTAAAATTTATGATGTGTTTCGGTAGCCTAATGTCAAGATTAATACAAACAACACTATATCTTTCGTAGGTTCGTTATTCGGCTTTATCAAAATTTTTGTCACGTGACGTCTGCCCTTTACTGCATATTGACAAGTCTTAATAAATTTCTTAAAAACTTGTTTTATTCATAATTTGTTTATTTTTAATTTATTTAATATAAATTTATATTTTAGTGAGTTTAGTCATCGTTTATAAATTAAAAGTAAAAGACTTAACATACATACAATTTAATATTTTAAGTTTTCAAAAAACCTTTAATTAAACAAATTAGTAATTTTAATTCATATTTCAGAGTAAATTATTTAACTAAATAAGTATTTTGTTTTGTTTATTTGTTTTGTATAATTGACTAATATGAATGATAATTAATATCAAAGACCACCTCTCATGGTTTTCCTTTTTAATTTTCGTGTTAGATTTCCATATGCCACCTCGTAGTTTTGGAAAGTGGTCCGGTTACTTATGATCTTATATGAACAAGCATAACCTTTAACAACAATTTGAAGTTGGCGACAGGTATTCCTATATTTCTGTTAATACCCTGTTTGCCTAACTCGTCAGCTCTACAGATTTCTTTAATAGCATTGCTCCCGGAACTCTAAAAATGGTACTAATTTTATTTAGAGCTGCCAGGCAATACTAAACAACCTTTGAGTATACTGATTTGTTAGTCTAGCTACTCGTGTATATATTTATCCTGGTTTAAGTTACCATATGTATGGTGAAATAAATAAATAAATATGTAGTTACTTTGTCGATTGGTAAAACCTCTGTTTGAAAGGTACTGCAGCCATCAAATAGATAGACAGATAATTCTTAGATAGATTCTTAGATTTTTCGAAAATATTCCAAAGTCAACTCTTTCGAAAAGCTTGTAAGAGTATGGTAGAAATTTGATTTTCGTCTTTTACTGTGTCATTGTAGTCCACTCCCTCACTCTGATGAAGTGATGAAGGTTTGTGTTTACATATATTTTACTGTAATAGATTTGTCCCGACACCGACTAAATTTATTTATTTTTTAAGCTGTTATATCATCTAACAGCCACATTTATTTATTAATTTTAATTATGCAGATATTATTGATTTTTCATAACACAAATAAATTTACAAATTTTAATTGTAATAAATTATAAATTAAACAGTAATATAGTGTTTGAATTATGTATTGAAATATTGTACAATTTTTTTTTAGTGTTTGTCTGTGACATTAACTAATTCGTGTTTAATGAGAGAGAGTTGTCATTTTCCGTCTCTACAAAAGTTAAAATTTCATCTTTTTTGTTTCGGTCCATATATATTTGACCTCAAGATATCTATCTGACTTTCTACTTTAAGCTCTCTGCTTCAAGGTCTCTACTTTAAGGTCTCTGCTTCAAGCTTTCTACATCAAGCTCTCTACTTTAAGGTATTTGCTTCGAGCCCTTTGCTTCAACCTTTCTACTTCAAGGTCTCTATTTCAAGCTCCCTACATCAAGCTCTCTACTTCAAGCTCTGTACGTCAAGGTCCTTACTTCAAGCTTTCTACTTCAAATTCTCTATTTCAAGGTTTATACTTCAATCTGTTATATATGATATTAAACAAATACTTTATGTAAGTTATATCATCTAATAGCCACATTTACTAATGTTTGTTACGAATTAACTATTCGATTCTCAAGAGTAATTGTAATAATTTAAAAATTAATCAAGCATTATTATTTCAAAAAGTAAGGCTCCAATTTATTAAGCTACGGATTTCAAATTAGGTATGTTCTACATACATTGAACTTTAGGAAATTGTTAATCTCGTCTAACAATATAATGGGTTATTCACTGGATTCTAATATTTATATATAAAATTATTATAAATTTAACTCAAAGAAATGCCTTTAGGGCAAGAAAGACAAGTATTTGCTTGTCTTGCCTTTAGGGGCTTTTACAGAAACTCATTGAAGAAGAGAGTTTTTGAAAACTTATTCAAAGTTAATGTGAAAATATTTCATTAAAAAAAATCTATTGTATCAACTGTAATGCGGTCGACAAATATTTAAAAGGATAGGTTTGATTCGCGAAATTCCCACTGGTTGACTTGTTATAGTTAACCATAGTGAACCAAATTGGGTCGCTATCACCCTAAAAAGTTTTTGCAGCAAATATTTTTGTTTGATATAGTTTTTCTTCTAAATCTTATAGTAAAGACGTGGACGCTAGACGTAGAAATAAAACGTAAGACCTAAACAGTTTTTGCAGTAAATGTTCTTCTTATGGTAAAGACGTGGACCCTAGACGTAGAAGTAAAATGTAAACCCTAAGCAGTTCTCTTGCTATACGTCTTGATATAGTTCTTCTATGTCTTATGGTAATGAGTACTTATCTTTGAGTACATAATATTATATAAATTGTCTAGGAACAAAATGGAAAACAGCAACAATTCAGTTATTCTTTTGGTATAATTTTTCTTTTAATGTAACATTTGGTTTTTAATATATAATACAATGTTTAATATAAATGATAGAGTTATACATACATACATATATAATATATATTCGATCTTATTAACATGCTTAAAATTAATTATATGTAAAAATGTTATGAGAACAAATATTCGTTTTATTAAATGCTAAAAATAACAATTTTGTGATTTCAAATTGAATGTATTAAGTACTTCATTCGATCCTAACAATATTAAGATTTTTGGTTTGGAAAATGCAATTATTACCTAAACTTAAATTTAATTTAATTTAAAAATATTATTCAATTGTAAAATGAGATATAATGCTTATATACATAGTTTTAATTTACACCACAGTCTGTGGTATTTTGTTCGATTGTGGTGCGTAAGCGGCTTTGGTCGCTTTGTGACCGTTTCAGATTGCAGCGCCAACGTTTTATGCAACCCAAAAGGTAACCGTGCTTGGTACGGCTTAAGACATAGATATAAGGGTCTGAGGTGAAATGTAGAGCCATGAGAAAGTCAGCTAACATAAAGAATGGATGCGTTTTGCGTACTGGATTTGTCGATATAGCCATTGGTATAGCAATCTATAAGAAAATAATTTGAATTAATTATTCATGTTATGATCTTTTCAAATATATATTTATAAATGTAATATATTATCAATTGATGTAATTTATACGTTCTACCATTTTATATTAACTAGAGATATTGATTTTTATAATTCGATCTATTTTATTATATATAACATTAACGTTGTGAGGTTTTTTTGATCACAGAATCAATTCGATTTGTTCCCTTTAAAATGTTTAAACAATAAAATAATGGATTATAATAAATTATTTCACCATTATTCTATTATTTAATTCATAATCATTGGATTATTTAGCAGCCTTTTGAATGCTGCGCTCTTTTTGTTCGTTAAATTCTAGTCTTCTTTAGATCATAATTATTATTATATATTTTAAATTATAGCATCGTGAAGATGATTATAGACTATTGTCGAAATATTGTTAATAAGTCCACATGAAAGTATGTAATAATATCCTAAGTCCACATGAAATATGTAATAATGCCTATTCTCAATAAAAAGAAAACATAAAAATAATTAAATGTGGAAATGTATATATATTAATCAATTAAAAAGCCATTTTTATATATTCCTGCCAACCCTGCATTTATATGTTTAACCATAATTTTGCTATATATCTTGGGTACTCATATATATGTATATATATAGTACTATTGTTGCTTTACAATATGCAGTATAAAACACACTACGCAACACTAAATTCCTTTATTTCTAGAAGAATAATGGATTCTTTTTTTGTCGAAATCCTGGTTTTTTTATTTAAAAAAAATATTAATCATGTGCCTTCAAACTCTTTTTTCAATTTTGTGAGAGATTGTTGTATCTCTTTTTGAGGAGAGATTGCTGAGTATCTATCTGAGAGAGAGACTGAATAAACCCAGAGAATTTCACAGAAATTGTAACAAATTATAACCAGACAATGCAATATCAGAACTATACTGATACATATATCAAAACTTCTTACTTAAAATCCTAATTTTTGATGAGTTACCATAAAACACCATAGTGTTATCATTATGGCATATGACATTTTACCTCAATCAATCCCAACTTCAGTTTTAATTGTTGGCATTAGAAAATTGGATCAATTATTTGTTCAGTTGTAGTAACTTTTAATGCATGATGCCGTAGCAGCACCACTACATACATATTATCACCATCCTTGTAAAATGTTTTCAGTTTTGGGTATCATACTCTTAGAAAAAGCTTGATTTCGTTTGGGTGGACTCAAACGAATTGATGGAGTTGGACATGAAAATTCGGAGTATCAATTTTTTTTGTTTGATCCAATAATCTTGAATTTGGAGATAAATTAATATTTTATGTTGCTTTTTAACTATTGTCTTCCTTTACACATAAAAGACTGTATATTATTTTTAAAGATATCAAATTGATTTTAAAGATTTTTCCCCATTTCTTCGGTACTTCATAACATAATAAAATACAGATACTATAATTTTTGTAGTTGTGATAAGATCTTTTAAACTCTGTTTCGTTTCCTCAAAGATAAGCTGATCGTTGAAGAAAAAGTTATTCGTTTGGTTCAATCCCTAAATACTATTCGGTATACTATGGTATACTTTGCATTAAATTATACGTAACACCTTTATAACTTCTTTGGTATTTTATATATATTTAATTAAGTTTTTCTTAGTGTCCATTTCCCCTAGTAAAGCATAGGGCCGCAGTTAGCATCTACATCTCTTTTGAGCCTGACTTCTCTCTCCTTTGGAAAAGTTACTCAGGAACTTTACATTATTTTTTTTGTCTCAACACAGAATGCTTCATTGTCGATTATGGTAACAGATTATCTCTATATGAATTAATTTTTTATGAAATTTATAATTCTTCTAGGCCCATCTTTTCTCTCTTTTGTAAACTTTACTCAGGAATTTTATTTATTTTTTGTAGTTTTCACATAGAATACATCATTGCCGATTATGGCTCATTATATCTATGTGAATTAATTTTTTATGAAATTTGGAAGTTTTAAAATTATTTATTATGTTGCCAATATTTATTTTATTTCTGTGAAATTATTTTATTAGATAGGGATGTCATATATAGCTAGTGCCCTCGCCTAGTGCATTAACGAAACAACATGTTTACTACGATGTTATGACAATTTCATGGCTGCTATTAAAAAATGATGTTGCCAAAACTAATCTCATACAATATATGCAAATTTTAACAGTACCATATAAACATAATTTTAGTAAGAAAAAATTTGCGTTCGTAAAACTTTATGAGGTATTAAGTATTTGCTTTATAATTTACCATTTGCGGCATCCAGCATATAACAAAGGATATGCTCAGAAAGGCCATCAATTTAGCGAATTTAATCTCATCGGGGGACGAGGCAGCCGTCATGGTGACACTATTACTATGGTGGTACAATGATGAACCACTGCTAGGTTCGGCATCGATGCGACTGCCTTTCTCACGATTTACCATGTCGTAGTGCATGTGACGTGTGGTGGTACGACTACGTCCAATAACACATAAAACTCGAGCAACAAATAAATTACAAGCAACAATTACGATGCACAGCGTGGTTCCTGCATTAGGAAAATAAAAGAATGAATAAAACCTTTAGTTTTATAACAAAATGTTAAAAAAATTATATGAAAATTTATGTGTTATTTTAGATAACTTTTTACGCTTGTTTACAGTTGAGCATAAAAACGATGTATAATAATTTATGTCCAGGCAGGAGGTAGACCTCCACAGTTACTTTCAAATGTCAACAATTCTCAGCTATAAACTTACCGAAAATCATAAAAAGTACAGCATATGATTTATTCCAGAAACCCTGAGCATCACGGTAACGCATACATACAGGCTTTTCCGGATTACTTTCATCAATATAGGCGCCAAAACCGACGAACGGCAAAAACGTGATAACAATCGCAATGAGTATCAGTGAATGAATTGTTTTGCGTACAAGTTCATATGTTATGTGCTGCAAATTAAGCCAATAAAAAATTAACGTTAGTAGTACGTGACAAAGTTGGTAGGTTACAAGTTATAAAAAAAAATCACTTCAAATTGGGCTATTTTTCACACTTGTGCCACGCTTGTTTATGGTCACCTTACCTTGTGATAGATGAAAGGGCGTGCTAAAGCCATCCAACGCTCAATAGCCATGACAGCAGCAATGCAGCCCGAATACAATCCAAAGAAACGCCATACAACTTTTAGAGCACAATCCCAGTGGGTGTACCTCGCAAAGACCTCAGCAGGCAAATAGAGCTTTAGCAAAAGCGTTGTTATCATACCGAGTAATCCAATAAGATTATTTGTAGCCAAGGAGCTGAATGAAAATAAAAGTCAAATTAAAATATTTTCCTGATTGTACCAAGGACTTAACCTAAGCGCACGTATTACTTGGCATTTGAAAAACAAAACAAATTTAAATATCCTTTTATTGCGCTTTAGTTTAACATATGCGTTGTGTTTATTAATAAAACTTTAAGGATTAGATTGGTGAGCTAATTTTATACATCCTAGCAAATTTATTCAATTCACAATCACACATAATCTAATGGAAGGGCAAAGTTAATTATCACGTTCTTTTATTTTTTCAGCAATCTTGAACTACTTACATGTATTCATATCAAAGGAGGGGAAGGATCTTAAAAAGTTTATCATTGGAGCAATCTCACAGTAACATATAAATATCATATATGAAGTAACAAAGATGAATTGGGTCAAAGCCCTTCGGATACCGATATTCATCGATATAAAATTATGCTATCTGTTTGGTGGGATAACATAGATATGGTTTCTGTTTTAGGCTTACCTAACAATACAATTCTGATCAATTCTGAAATGATGCTATCTGTTTGGTGGGATAACATAGATATGGTTTCTGTTTTAGGCTTACCTAACAATACAATTCTGATCAATTCTGAAGTATACAATTATCACTTGATGACTTGAATGATGCGCTTAAACAAAAAAGACCGGAATTAGTCATTAGAAAAGGTGTAGAGTTCCACCAAGACAATGTGAGACTATATAAAAGTTCAGTAACTCGAGTATATACGGCCGTTTACATGTGGCAGTATACTCTCACAGCTGCTCTTCTTGTAGTTCGATAATGCCACCCTTATCTCAACGGGTTGATATTTTTACTGCTGTCCAATTCAGATGGGTAGCTGGACACAGAGATATATCAGACAACTATAAAGCAGAGAAACTCGCTAATGTAAGCACGCTGTTCTTCTATATTTACTTTTCGGTTATTGGTATTCTTATTGCAACGGTTAAAATGGCAATAAAACTAAAATATCTGGGGACTGGGACACTGTAAGTCTGGGGAATGAAAATATTTGTTAGAGCATAAGATAAACAAAATTTTCACCAGTTAACTGCTACAATGAAAACAATATCAACTCAGTTCCACAGTATCGATGTTGACAGCTCACTGTATATTAAGAAAGTATGCAATAAGATTTGATTTACCCTTTAACGACTTTTGTCAGAGTTGTGACTATATGGATGATGAGAAAATTATTACTTATTATTACTAACTAACTAATACTTACTTTTACTATATAACTTGACTTAACTTCAAATTCTTTAAGTAATCTTTTCTTACACAGTTGATAGAGTTATTATACTAAAAACCTAGGGCTATAGCAAAAATTACGGACTTGGTAGGTTGGTCGTCTTTTACTTGTATAAGAATGTCGCTCTTTTTCAAAGGAACGCAGTTTGTTCGATATATTCTTTAAAGTTTTATCTTTCAGGTGGTCTCTTATATTTGGTGTAAAAAGGAGTGTTTTATCCAAAGTATCAAAACGGACCATTATTTGTGCTTAATTGAGCTTTAGTCCACTGCAACCTAACCAACTATAGAATATGTTAGATTGGGAAAAATGTATTCATTCTTGTTTTTACTTACATCTAGCTTTCTTTTTTGTTTGTGACTGGTAAGAGATTGGTGAACATTCTAATGAGGTTAATGGTTCTTGGTAAATGTTTCAGTTAATCAATCTTAAGAGCAAGTTTCAAAAAGATCGCTATATTTTACAATTATCTGTGTCAGAAGGCAGTTCTCCTTCCTCCGCAATTTTCCAAAAAATTTAAAAAGGAAACTCCCTACTTAATACACAATTCCAATCGAGTCAATCCAGTTGAAAAAGCTGATAAAATACAATTCGAGATTTGGTCGCAATTAATAAAAGGTGACGACATCAAGACTGATCACAAAGAAGGTTGCGAAGAAGAATATTATGAATAAAAATATTATAAGGTTATTATCCTATATGAACCAGTTCCATTTGATCAAATGATTGATTCAAATTTCTACTGTTAGCAATTATTATGTTTAAATGAATGATTTAATGAACCTTAAAGTATTAGAACTCTAATATAATTGGAAACCATTTTGATACTATCTATAGTAAATCATCTGATTTTAATAACATAACATATAAAGTTAATTGTGCCCAGTCTATCGAAGTTTTGGATTGACGATTGATGATTGGTAAAGAGGTTTTTCGAACAGTAGTGAACTACAACAACGAAAATTCAATTTATATTATTTTAATTAATTGAATTTTTGGCTGACCATACAGCTGTTTCGAATATTGCCAAATACCTATTATCGGTGGTCTTGGAAATAATTCCGGTATTTAATTAATCGTAAATAATTTTTTTGAAACTGCATGTACCAGGAATTAATGATTGATGATTGATTAACATTTTTTTTTAAATTAAATATAATTCCATTCAACAAGTAAATAAATTATATACGGAATAACTTCATGCACCACATTCGACGTTGTTTAGCCAAAATATCGAATAATTCGCTAAATAAAGCTAATTGACTGGTTGTCAATACTCAAATGAATGATTGGTGTTCTTTTATTTGCCACCCGAGTAGATCTCCGGTAGCTAAATTCCCACGCGATAATTACTAGAGATATGCAAATTGCCTTATCAGAACCCTGAGCAGCTCCACCAAATTCAGTTATAATTTCGTGTAAACAATAATAAATTTAGTTGTTATTTTGGCAGACACTTTCAATTAACTTTGTTCATACTTCTCACCCTCCCAGTTTACACCGCCATTACTACAACGAGTATTAATAATTATAGTGACCGCCTTTTTAATTATGTCCTTTTTGAGCAATAAATCGAAGTGTTTATGCGCCACTTGCTCTTGTTATTTATTTGGTATTCGTGTAATTATTGTAAGTCATATATAAATTATTTTTACAGCTCAGTTACTTTAATTTAGCTATAAATTTTCTATTTAATTTGATGCTCCCCACAGTTGCATTTAATGTGGCTTTATTTAATATATTTCATATTGGTTTTTAAGTAGATTAAATTAGCTGACAACATCAAATGGCAACAACCCTCAAGTACAATGTTATTATTAGAAAAATACTTAATGGGAAAATGGAAGATACGAGCATGGAGTAAGTTTCTCGGTCTATCTATTTTTGTGCGTAAGTGTATGCCCTTGAATTAAGGTTAATTTATGGCATTTTATGTTATTTTATCAAAAAGGGATTACGTAAATAATGGAACACTAAGTTATGCTCCAATGGAGGAGCATAACAACTACAACTGTAGGAGGTACTATATATGCGATGCTAGTTTCCAAGAAAAGCATGACCAACGGAAAATGTTAATCATATTAAAATCATAGCAAAAAATATTGTATATAAATAAATATTATAGGAAAGAAAATTTAGAATCTGTCACGTAAACTTAAATAGGATCAAATATGTACTTTGAATTTATAGCTGAGAGTACACTCATATATATAGCATGGATTTATAGCTAAGAGTACAATTATATTTATCCAATAAATTGTATATAAAACGTATTTCTGACATTTGCAACTCAAAAATTATCAACGAACAATTAAATCGTTAAATGTTTCTTAAGATCACTGATGATGGATATTTGACAGTATCCAAGACAACTATTTTTTTCATAAAAAAAACAAAGACCCAAATTTCAAAAGACAATTCAACAGAGGTCTCAAGACTCCACATAATAAAAATTAAAATAAAAAAGATAATAGTAAATAAAAATTCTTGTAAATTTTTTTAATACTAGATATATTATATCTATAGATATATATTATATATATGATTAACTTATGTGATATATATTTATAAGTATAATAAGTTATAGATATATATTACATATCTTTGGAAAATTGTGTAAATTTTGAAACTAGTATTCCTTATATATTTTTTTGAGTGTTCACATTATATATGTTTTTAATGATGTGTGAATTTTAAGAATATTATTGCTTACATATTTTTATTTTTGGGTGTCCCTATCATTAAGGATTAATGTAAATAAAAGCATTAATGAAGGCAATTTAACAGAAATGTATGCACATTTGAAATGATTTTGGTATGAAATTCAAATCTTTGATTGATGTTTTTCAATGCTCTTATTTTAGGTATCAAATTTACTCCTAATTAAAGATGAAAGCAACATTTTATTGTATATAAAAATAAATTTCAATTATAATCAACCATGCGTACTTCAGATAAAATTCCCCTATACATTTTGTTTGTGTTTAATGGAAATAAATATGTACACTCGTATATATTATATATATATATTGCATTTCTTTTACTTCATTTAGAGAATATTGCTGAGTTTATATAAAAATGATTTACATTTATGATGGTTGGGTATTAAAAAATCTTTAAATATTTGGGGTACTCATCTAAGCGTATAAATTTATCGAATGCATAATTTTAAGCGTTCACGTACATGGTTATATGAACGCACTTAGCGAAATATTTGTGTAAATTTATCAATCTGCTGTATAATAGCACTATTTATATCAGCAATAATATAGCACATAGCGCATAATGTGATACTTAGCAACGCAATTTTTTAACCAAAAATAAACAATAACAATAAATTAACAATAAATTATAAAAAAAAAATAAAAATTATTTACAAAGATATTTTTGTAAGTGACTTGCTTGTGTTGGAATGCAACTCTGTATTGACAACAGATAAATTTATACGATATAAATTTATTCGGTAAAATTTTCGTATAAATTTATCAAGTTTGTGTAAACTATTTTTTTTACAAATTTTGACACTTCATTTATAAAGCAGATAAATTTATACGTTTAAAAGTTTTAGAAGGCATTTATCAGTTTAGATTAGTTCCCCTATTATTTGACTATGCCATATATATTTTACATTACTCAATATACGTATGTAGTCAGTCGCGACGTAATGCTCGAGATGGCTTGATGATATAAAAATTTGTAAATGCTTCTTCTTCTCTAGTGTTATGATGTGAGATGAAAG